CAGGTGCCAGCAGTGTCAGCCCCCTCACCTGTCTTCCTGTATTTAGTACGAGGCAAGGTTACCCCTCTTACATATACAGCCTTTGTAAAAATGCTAAAACAGAACTTATCTAGGTTGGGTTATGACAGCAGCAAATATTCGGGACATAGTTTTCGCAGAGGAGGGGCCTCCTTTGCCTTAGAATGTGGGGTTCCAGCTGATCTCATACAATCACAGGGTGATTGGAAATCTAATGCATACAAATCATACTTGGATCCTTCTTTTGCACACAGACAGGAAGTCATGAACAAATTTGCAGTTGCCCTGGGGAAATAATAAACCATTTAACCTACCTTCTACTGGTTACACCACACATGTTTGGGAAGTTTGGAATACCACAGATTATTAATTAATTAATTTGTGTATTGTTTTCAAACTGTACTGTTGTTTGTGTTTTATTAATATGAAATTTAAGCATTAAACTGTGGTTCTTTTCCCAAACATGTCTTTGTTTTACACTAGTAACCATCTGGATTCACAGGTTTCCTGACTGGATTCCGATCAGAGTTAGACATTAACATGCATCTGATCTGAGACTGGTCTAGATTCCAACAGCATATATACACATACACACTATACACATACACAGGGGGGAGGGAAATGGGTGGGGCCGTTTTCAAAGTGATGTGGATTAATGTGATATTTTTATTAACAAGAAAAATGGATTATTAATACACAGCATGTTGACATGTATCATCGCACATGCATTACCTGTCCTTATTGCCGATTGGGTATTTTATTTCAGCTTATATCTATTAATAACAACCAATGATATAAGGAATTCCCTACTGGCCACTCTTGACATCTCACTCTCTAATTGCTTTGTGAGATGTGGGAAGGGAACCAATGAGAACAAGGCCCTTATTTCAAATTATCCAATCGGCAGAGATAATTAATTAATTATCATCCTTTTGTTTTAATTACTGCGCGCCTCATTTAGGCATTCTAGATAATACAACTGCATGAAGCAGACGCATTGCAATTTGGCATTAGCGAATTTAAAATCCCATCCTCACCCACCCTATTTTATTTTTAATTTTTATTGAGATGTTTAGGTTGCTTCATCAACTAATTATAGATATATAATTGATTTAATTTAACTGTATATTTTATAAATGTGTAGAGTAGATTATATTACAAGAACACACAGTTTTAAAACTTTATTTGGTCTATAGGAGCATTGCAAGATGTACATGCCTCTTGATCAAAATTAAGTTTTTATGATAAAGACAGTTCCTCAGCTACTATGAATATTAATATAATAAGTATGTAACTATATTTGGTCTATAAAATTATAGTAAAGTGTACATGTCATTTGATAGGGTTCATCTGACCTTAACCTCTCATCATGCTTCATTGGTCAACATTAAGTTTTTGAGTTATCAACACCAAATCCCCCAAATGACAAAGAAATTAACATAAAACAAAAAGACAACCACTCAACAATGCCCTGACTTAGGACAGGCATTTGAAAATGGCTTTGGTTGAACTTTACAGTTATTTTGTGCATTGCCTTGTGTTTTTTTTTTCATTGAATAAAATTGATGATGCACACATTGCGGAAATAAATGGACTGTAAGTTGATCTACTGATTATGTTAAGGGTTTACCAGAAAATGATTCAGGCCAGGACCTCACAAAGTCTGTATTTAACCTTTACATGTATTTTTGTAATTGAAATGAGAAAATGGCCTTCCATCCATTAGTGCTTAGATACTTAAAGGAATGTGAAGTCATAATCTTCATTTCAACAAATAAATTGCAATTGAATGCAAATTTTGCAAATGTCAGAAATTTAGCATACAAATTGAATAGTTGATTTATAACCTTTTACTAAAAATTTGATATCATTATTACATTTTGAATGAGGATGGGTTGTATATTGAATGTTTCCTCTGAATTTATTCAGTCATCAATAAGCATGCTTCTTTAAACCCTACTGCGGCACTTTGATTTTGAATTGGAACTGATTACATCTTGATGAATTACAAAATTTTTAATCTGAGTGCAATGACATCAATTATCTCATCGGAGAACCTTTAAACTTTAATCTACCTTAAAAGACCACAAAGGTGTTTCTCAAAATGTTGTCTGGTTAAACACCATCATATTTATCGGTGCTTTCATTTTTGTTCACTATTGGACATCTCGGTGACACCTTGAGTGTTCGATAACAATGGTAGTAATGATATGTTTGTTTGACAATTTTAATGATCCGATTACTTTCAGACACCTCCAATATCAAACATATCCAGGCTTTTGTGCTTTTGTGGATAATTCTTTAAAAATTATTGTCAACGGAAAATGCAAATTAACACAATTGTTGCTTTTGTCATCAGTAATGATAATGGTAGTCAAGTCCTGGAGAGAGAGTGGAAAAATCAATTTCACGCTGGGCGACTCCTTGTCCATTATTATTATCTGTTTAAGAAGGATAAAAGAAAAGTGTAGAAATTTGAACTCTTCAGTTTAATTTTTATGGGGCAAATTTGAAGAGATAACTCTGCTTTATCTAAAGACTTTGTATACTATGTACAGTACAGTGACTGTATTGTCTCCTGGGTGCATTGACATTTGTAGTGGTGCATTGTCAAGGATGAAGACTAAAGTCCACAATACATCTAAGTATGAGGCACCTTATTATTATGTTTTAATCAACAGTTTTTTTTTTCAATTTAAAAAAACCTTAAAATATTTTGAACATTAACAGCTATTGTGCTTTACCAGGTCAAGATAGGATATATGCTTATTGTTTGTTTTTACTGGTATGTTTTCTTTCTTGAATGAGTTTCTAGTTGGTGATTTTTACCATTGTGTCTTTATTGTAGGTTCTATGCACACTTTGGTTTATACCACTGCTAGAAATTAAACAAGGGAAGGATTGAGATTGCAAAACACAAGTCTAACCCTCCCACATATTCATGTTCTTTTCCTCAATAAGGAACCATATCAGTATTTGTCTTATGTTATATCTTAAGGTTTTTGTTATATTAGCGTTGATGACAGACGCTTGATAGTCTCTGTTTAATTTGTTCACAGCTTTTCTGGACTCTGGGATATTAAGATCATACATGTTTAACCCTGCCTGTCCCAAGTCGGGACCCTGTAATTCACTGGGTGTAGTTTGTTGCTGTATATCATATTTGTTTATCGTTTATTGTTCTGTTCATTAAGCAGGCCTTTATTTTTCTGGTTTGAATTGTTTTACTTTTGTCATTTTGAGGTATGGGTTTTGCTCATTTTTGAAGGCCGTACTGTGACCTATAGATGCTAACTTCTATATCATTTTGTATTTGGTGGAAAATTGTCTTAGTGGCAATCATACCACATCATCTTCTTATTTTTATCTTGTCTATAGTGGAAGATCATATTTTATCTTCTTGTTGTCTTCTATTTAAGTTATTGTTGGGTTGCTGTCTAATTGGCAAATATTGAATAATTTACTTAATTTCCTAATGTGACTTTTAATGTATGTAAAGAATGAAGAATGTTATAATAGCAGGAATTATTAGATATTATTTTTACATGCATGGGAAACTACGATAAGAAGTACAATTATTGGTTGTTTCCTCTAGCAATTCATCTTCACATTAAAGTTATAATGGGGAACTTGACTCAATTAACTGTTGATCATAGAATTGTAATGAAATCCCCATATCAGTATATTTCACTTGTATTAAATGTTTATCTTATGTCATCCAATACACAGTGAATGGATTAAATTCTTCCATCAAATATTTATAGATCAACAGTTTTGTTTGAACTATAGTCTTAAGAAGCAATATTAATATTTATCTTTCTGACAGAAAAGTTGAATGAAAGTAGCTTGCTATTTTTAGAGTAAGCAAGAATTTTACAAATTATTATTAGTTACAAAATGCATTTCTATTTCAGTACATATTAATTTCTATAATGCAATATATATAAAATTATCATGGTTGTAATTGATTTCAATTTTTTTTTGTTTTAGTAATTTCAATGTATGTTTTATTGATTATTATAGTAAATAAAGTGTATTTCAAAGTACCCAATTAAAATATGGTCCATAGATATTTAATAAATTTTCATAAGGTCAACATCTGCCTGCTTCCCAAAGGGTACAAATACTTGCTGATATTATATAAAATTTGTCACCTAAATTAATTATTATTATGTTCCATAGCCGTCAGCAGTCAATTGTTTGTCAACAAAGGTGCGACAATTAATGAGTGCTGATGACACATGTATACAAGAAGCTTGACAACAGTGACAATTTGTCATTTACTTTAATTATTAAACTTATGCAGAGTTCAATTTATATGAAATATACCATCTTGATATTGAATTATGAAATTAATATTGTACAGAGTAATGGTTCAAGAATTTCTTTTGTGTCATGTTTGGACTAAATGCCATGAAATTTATGTCCATCAAAATTATTTTTATATCTTTTAACAAATATATACTAAGTCAGCATCAGAATGGCTGTTAGATAGAAGTCATTTACAATACTAACATTGTTAACATAAAGTTTTAATTTTTAATTTTGATACACAATGTATATGGTGGTTGAAGTTTAGGCAGATTATCTCTAACCTTTTTTAGCTTACATGGAAAATGCTATATCTGTATTTTATGACATAAAATTAATGATTGTGTCATGATTATTTAACTGTTTTTGGCAAAAATGATTTATTCTGTACTATATAAAAAAATCACCCCGTTTTACAAGAACAGAAGTGTAATTTATTAAAATCTGACCATGAAAAAATTAAACCTGTGTTCATTGACATTTTAAACCATAGGACAGTATTGTTTTTAGACTTTTAACCTGTATAGAGGCCCCCTTCTAATCCAAGCAGTACTTCAGTTTGATAGAAGAAAACAACCTTGTAATTGAAGCAAAAAAGAGTATAGTTTAGATATTCAGAAAACTTTTTTAATGTAAAGTATCATTTAGTGCATATTTGCAATTTTTTTCAGGACCCTGTGAATATGCACATCATGTTTTCCAAGATGCTACAGAGTGGTCTCCCATTCCATGCACTATGTGTGTTTGTCGTGATGGACAGACAATCTGCTATCCAATACAGTGTCCTTCATTTGTTTGTCCTCAGGTAAGAATCTTTTAAGAAATCCTACTTCATGCTTCCTTGAATTCTTAAGGGTCATATATACTTTAAATAAATTTGCACATTGTCATTCTCTTGATGTTTTCTTCATGTGGATGTTTTAAAAGATTGCCGCTGTATATTTTATACAATATTTAGTTATATACCAATGCCTCTGGGTCAGAGAGAATAAAGAAATCAAAAGAAGGGCCTCTTAATTAAACCATGGAAACACACATTTTTTAGAAATGATCCATCTACAACTGCTTTCAGCAACCAACAATTTTAGAGAAGTTACATTCTCCTATAACCATTTTTCCCATAGTGAAATTATTCAAACTATGGATTTGATTTTTTGATTTTCTGTGAATTTACGCAACCAAAGAAGCCCAAAATATACCTTCTGCTCCATCTAACTGTAGTTTGGATTGAAACTATGGAAGCTACTTGTTACATGATAGTAACATTTGTATTAGATACACCTTGACAGGTTAGCCGAATGAGTGTATCTAATTTACACCAAGATATTATCATCAAAGCAGAATGATAGTTTTCAATATTTTAGGAAGAGGGTCTTTCAGCGATGTGACCATATGTTATTGAAAAGCATGATAAATAAAGGGTATCCAATTTCATTTGATGACATCTTGGTGTTAATAAAGTTAGATATGGCAGTCCCTATTACTAAATCACATCTTATCTTCTGACAGTAATTCACTTTTAACAAGTATTTTGGCATGTCATTTTTATGCCCTTGACATAGGTTAAGGGGGGTAATATGTGTTACCCTTAACCGTCCGTCCTTGTGTCCAACCCATTTTTCGTTTCTGCACTTTTACTTAAGTTTGACTCATACAAATTTTAAGAAACTTATACACAATGCTTAGAATCACAACATGCAGACAGAGTTCGAATTTGGGCAGTGAGTCATTTACCGTTCTAAAAGTTATGCCTCTTTTTAACTTGGAAAATTGCAAAGCTTGAGCGGGGGCATTTGTGTCCTCAGACATATTCTTCTTTTATTTTTATTTTTTCAATAATTTAAAGTTGTGTAGAATTATACAACAACTTTCAGTAAGGTCAGATATGTAACTTCTAATTTAGAGGACTGACTGAACCCGGATAACTTTTTTTCTTTCTGAAACTGAATATGTATTGTAAAATAGTGTAATATTTATCTGCCTATTGATTGATAGTCTGTGACCTTTCACTACATAGACACCATATTTATATGTTGCTCTAGTGAAAAAAGTCACATATATAAACCATTGAACAAGTTTAATTTGATTTTTCCATATTTAGAATGTAGCCAATCTATGAGTCACCTTAAGCTTAGGTCAGTTTTAGAAAGGAATAGACAAAGTCATGCATACACATGAGAGGGACAAGTTTGCTTAAGGTCAATCTGAAAAGCTTTAGAACTTGCTTCATTGATAATTTTTTTATGTTAAAACTATATGATATGAAATACGAGAAGTTGTTGGATAAATGATTAATTTAAGATTGTAACTCAATAGGTTTAATTGTGCAAATATACAGTGTTGTGATCTTGGTTGATTGATAAGGACAGGATTGGGATGGGGAGACATATAATTTAGTGTCAAAAACAATCATCACATTTAGTTGTATTATAAGTTTAAAAGCATCTATATTGTTAATGTCTAATAAAGACAAATTCTGCAAGTCATGCAATTGATTCAAAATGCATAACTCCAAGAAAAAAAGTAATTACATCTTTATCCTGTAATATGCTTCATCTTAAACAATAGAATTTCATTTTCTTTCTTCTCTTAGTATCTTAATATCCCTCTTTTCTTCAATATATAAAAAAATGTAAATAGAAAAACTATTTATATACTATCATTTTCATATGCTGTCAGGAAAATCTGAAATATCAAGACACAGAACTTCTGTATAAGGTGACGATAATTTAACAAGATTATTTCACTATTAAACCAGTGATGTGTGTAAGATTTAGTGGCAAATTAACTTCTAATGAGCATCTAAATGTACCTATAGGTGGAACCTTTGTATATTAAATGGAAATTAAAAGTCAATTAAAGTCGGTTAAGCTTTATCATCCAGCCAGGTATAAACTAAAGGTAGATTACGTCCAGTAATTTTTGGGATAATTATGCTCACTCACACCTCTGCTTTTCAGTGCAGTATAATTTTCATTGCTTCATACTTGTGATATGTTACAGAGAGTTTTTTATGTTCTGCCATTAAATTAAATTGACAGGATAATTTGTTTTGTAATAAGCATGGTTAATTAAGGAATAAATTGATCATTTTAAAAGGAAATTTGTAAGATTGGAATCTTAAATATTAAACATTAGCACCTCCTTGCCAAAATATATACTTATAATTATAAGATTTTCATCTTGCTTATGGGTACAATAATAAAGCCAATAAGAAAAAAAGCAAAATATTTGAGATTCTGACACTGATTTTTTACTGCTACAGGAGGCGTTAAATGACCTTGACTGCATGGTCAGTATATCAAATTATTATATATTTGATACACTAATCTCACTTTTTGTTTTGAAAAATAAGTAATTGGATGCAAAACTCCGAAGAAAATTTGATATTTCTTGTATTTTAAAATGTCAAACATTATTAGCTATAGTTTGATCATTAGTTATGTTTCATTACAGGGAAAATCCATGGAGAGAAGACCAGGGTCATGTTGTCCCTCCTGTGTTGGATCATATTGTACTGATGCTATGATACATTACAAGGTAAGAAGAGTCATCTCCCTTGTCAGTAAGAAATGCCTTAAAGTTTCACTGCACATCGATTCCTTCGGGATTCCACGTTTACGATTCAAGTACATTCTGCAATCATTGTGCTTCTTGAATTGTAATTGACATTGTAAGCATTTGATAGGTCTTTCAAGGTAACCTCATGACTTGACCAGTGTATAGAAGTATGGTCACCTGGACTTTTCCACTCTGGCAATAAACCAATTTTGAGGGGGTGACAGTTAACATGATTTATACATAGTCAGCAACATCAGTTCAGACAGAATGGGGATGTCACACTGTATGCACATTAAAGAACCCATGCACAATTAAGAGGGCCATAGGTGGCATTACTCCAGGATATCCTCTTTCTTCAGTTGCAGTCCACATTTCTAGCCATTTATCCCCATTTACCCACTTAGCAGAACCTTTCGATTGGATTTATTGTTAATTTGTTCTTGTCCTGAACAAGTATGAAATATTTGCCACTGGATGTTAAACAGTCATTTGATCAATCCCTCACTATCAACATATTTTCTATTTTTTAAAAGCTGATTTCTAATGAATATATAAATCAGCTGTGTCTTAGGAGAGTTATTGCTATTTCCTTAAGTTTAAATTTAAAGATTTTAGAAAATAAGATGTACAAAATTTTGAATATATTCTTTAGCATAAATTGTAGGATATAAAACTAGTGCAAACTAACCCAGTTTTAGATTAGATTTATGTCGAAGTCACCACACGTAGCTGTACAATACATGTCAGTTTTATAAAACGGGGTAATTTTTGGATTTTATCTGGATGACATTCTGTCTGCCCTTCTCATGCAGTCGTCAATTCATATCACAGTTCAATTTAATGATATAGTTGTCAGAAGCTTATATTGTGTGTATTGATCAAATGTTATAATAAGTAAAGAGATAGACAAGATACAATAATAGATGTATACTTTATGATAGTATCAGTTTTAATGCTCAAACATAGAAATGGTTTAAAATTTCAACTTTTTTAGCAGTGGGGTCTTTAAGTATGAATATATTATATTATGTATATAGTATCTTACATTTTTTGTCAATTGTTTAAAATGTTATGTTTTTTGGGTGTCATAAACAATGGACGATTGTGGAGATGTATTATTTAGCTAAAATCAATGTAAAAATGCCAAAGTCAAACCTAAATCAAATGTAAATTTCATACCTCACCAAAATGATTATACCAAACATATTGTTTTAAAAAAAAAAAAATTCAATAAAACCTTTGCCGACTGACTATATTTAAGACAGATACAATTAAGTACTGCATTATACTAGTATAAATATGTAATTGATAGAAAGGCGTTGTAAAAATCTGGTATATTTTTCTTAACTGATAAATCTAAAATAACCACTAAGATATTTTAATGTCCTTGCTACATGTAGACTAATAATAATTCAAATATTTCATTTCTATTAAATGAGGTAATTGGCGGACAAGGTATTGTCCTGAAACAAATTAAGATAACTGTTTATTGAATTTTCTTTCAAAAGACTGGCTTTTTACGACCTTTTAAATAATTGATTCTATAGAGCCAAACATTTTTGAAGACTATCAGATATATTTTATCAATAATTTTATATGATTTATGACCGCTACAATTAATGATTATTGGTCTATGTTTATGTCTGAAGTTTTGACAAAAATCATGTCCGTTACTATCTGTTTTGCCAAAAACAATGGCTAAAGTTGTAATTCATAAGCCATGCTAATATTTAATATGTTCATATGTATTATATTTTACAATAAAGTTTCTATATTTGAAGGAAAATTCTGGTATATCAAACACAGTTTTTGTATAAAGAAAATGACAAATATGATTTATGGGTTCACATAGGTGACAGGTGATTTAACGAGTAGATATGTGAAAAAGGGGTAGAATTGATATGCACGGTCTGTCCAACTGTCACGATAGAAGAGTAATTATCTCTGCACTTCTGTATTCAATTTCAATGATTTTGTTCCGTTCATACATATAAGTGTAACTTCTTTTTCATATGATAAAATAATTGCATGATAAATTTTGACCTTAAAGAAGGGGGAGTATACCTGAGTATGGATTCCACATCTTTTTATATAAGCAAAAAAATAACTCTGACGTAATACATTGTATTAACATTTTGTTTAAGTTAAAGGAATTCAGAATTGGCTTGGAAACAACAACTTACCAAAGTTTGCCGTAGTCAAGTACTTTTGAGTACTTTCCTTATGTGTTCAAATTTGAGAAAAATAAATCTGTATAAAGAAATAAAGCTAAAAATAAATCTGTATAAAGAAATAAAGCTAAAAATAATTCTGTATAAAGAAATAAAGCTTATAGTAATAGTTTTATGCAGGACATTTATGTGAATTAGTTGTCAAATTATGCCTCTGATTACATTTTTGTATAGCTTCTTTTTGCATAAATATTTAAATACTCATGGGTGTTTAAATTTATATTGTTGATGTAATGCTCATATGATAAGCATATTTTCATGCCAAATTTGTTTTTATTAAATGCTCTTGGGTGTGTTTAAAACTTCGTTTACAAATGTAATGTAAGTTTAAAATTATAGATGACAGATTAATTTAAATGTAGACAAATGTCTAAGCTTAAAAAATAAGAAAAAAATGTCAGATATGACTTTTAATTAAATATTTTTACATATATAATAACACAGATACAAATTGAATTAACAATAATAATATTATGACATTCGAGATTTGATATAAAATATGTTGAAAAAGAAAGATAGCTCTGTCAACATATATTTGTTCCACCTAACAGAATTTCCCCAGGAAACTTTGTTATAAACAATGCAATGTTGACGGCTATTTTTCATTTGCAAATGAACTACATTATCATGTTATTAATTGGACTCTCAAAATACTGTCTTTATGAGTTTCACTAACATAAAAAACTACAATATATACAGATTGCTGTAAAATTTGTTGCATATATATGTAATTTGCATTTTGTACGTTATACTTATGCTTTACGGCAATTAAGATTATCATTAACTTTTGTAAGCTACAAAACTAATTAAAAAAATAATTGTTTAATTTTCAGAATGGTGACCATTGGGATAGAGACAGTTGTACTACATGTACTTGTATACAAGGAGAAATAGTGTGTAGTAGGAAAGACTGTATGATAGATTTTGAGTGCGAAGGGGTAAGGACATTATCATGAATAAAGAACAAAGTTGAATACATTTTTTCATGAATTGATTTTTGTCAGTCTCATCATCCTTACAAAATCATCAATTACCCTTATAGAAAATGTATGAAACATGGAAATATGTAATGTTTTTGAATGAAATGAAGCCATCCACAGTATTTATCCTTCACTAAATTGCTGTATTAAAAGGGACATTATTCTAGAAATATTTATAAACCCAGGTTATGTTCAGGGGCAGATCCAGGATTTTAGGTTAGGGGGGCGCAAACTTAATTTTTTTTGAGGTAAAATTATCGAAATATTCTTTATTAAGCTGAGGACAACCCATGCTTTGCAAATTTTAGGGGGCCCCCGCCTGAGTCTGCCCCTGATGTTTGATTTGTCTTCATCTTAATTAAGTTAAGGAGTAGCTTGAAATGTTATGAAATTTAATTACAAATTTATTATGAAATATAAATGCATTGGTAAATTGAGGTCATATGTTTTATCAAAGATATTCTAAATGATTCAGCAAGAATATCCCTTTTTAAAGTAAAGAAATTAAACAAGAAAGTTTTGACATTTAAATTTATGCAATACACAGAAATTTGAATGATGTATATTATTAATAATTTATTCTCCAAAAATAAATAAGTTTTAAGTTATTTGTATATATAAATACCAGAAGTCAAGTGTGAAACATTGAAAGGCCATTGTGTTGAAAATGGACCAAATATACAAAAATGTCACAAGGATGTTGTCACCCTTTTCATACAAATTTATGTGAATTAAAAACAACTAAAACATTGCACTTTTGCAGTGTACAAGAGAATTGAGGTCATATTACTTAAAGGATAATTAATGTTATTTTTAATCAAATTAGATATTTAGCCATTGAATCAAAATGTCCGTCTTTATAGCTCACCTGGCCTGAAAGGCTAAGTGAGCTTTTCTCATCACTTGGCGTCCGTTGTCTGTCCGTTAACTTTTACAAAAATTTTCTCCTCTGAAACTACTGGGCCAAATTTAACCAAAATTGGCCACAATCATTATTGGGGTATCTAGTTTAAAAAATGTGTCCGACGACCCTGCCTGCCAACTAACATGGCAGCCATGGCTAAAAATAGAACATGGGGTAAAATGCAGTTTTTGGCTTGTATCTCTGAAACTAAAGCATTAAGAGAAAATCTGACGTGGGTTTAAAATGTTCATCAGGTTAGATATATCTGCCCTGAAATTTTCAGACGAATCAGACAACCCCTTGTTGGATTGCTGCCCCTGAATTAGTAATTTTAAGGAAATTTTGCAGTTTTTGGTTATTATCTTGAATATTATTATAGATAAAGATAAACTGTAAGCAGCAATAATGTTCAGCAAAGTAAGATCTACAAATAAGTCAACATGACTAAAATTGTCAATTTACCCCTTAAGAAGTTATTGCCCTTTATAGTCAATTTTTAACAATTTTTCGTAAATTTTTTTAATGTTTTACAAAAATCTTCTCTGAAACTACATAGACAAATTCAACCAAACTTTGCCACAATCATCATTAGGGTATCTAGTTAAAAAAAATTGTCCCATGACCCCATCTGCTAACCAACATGGCCGACATGGCTAAAAATATAACATAGGGGTCAAATGCAGTTTTTGGCTTATATCTCTGAAACTAAAGCTTTTAGAGCAAATCTGACATGAGTATAAATGTTCATCAGGTTTAGATCTATCTGCCTTGAAATTTTCAGACGAAACAGACAACCCGTTGTTGGGTTGCTGCCCCTGAATTAGTAATTTTAAGGAAATTTTGCAGTTTTTGGTTATTATCTTGAATATTATTATAGATAGAGATAAACTGTAAACAGCAATAATGTTCAGCGAAGTATGATCTACAAATAAGTCAACATAACCAAATAGAATTAATCTTAGCCACAATTTTCAATAGGGTATCTTGATTGAAAAATACATCCGATGACCCTGTCATCCAACCAACATGGCCGACATGGCTAAAAATAGAACATAGGGCTTTATTATAAAAGTCTAAGGGAAAATTGTAAAAAAAGACAATTTCAAATGGTCACAACTTGAAAACTTATTTGAATAATGATAATGGGTCTTCAGTAACTATTGTAAGACTACAATGGGATGACCTGCTTTTAATTTAACTACTGGGCCAAATTAAACCAAACTTGGCCTCAATCATTATTAGGGTATCTACTACTATAAATTATGATTTTAACCTTATTTTACAAGATTTCGAAAACAACAGTTGAGCGACACAGGCTCTTGGGAGCCTCTAGTTTTCTATAGGAACAGAGTTTTATTTGGCTCTGTGACAATGACAGCACAATCATTGTGTTCACATGTTGGTTAAATTATCTGGACCCCTTGACATTAAGTTCTCTAACTTCCAACATGGTGGGAATGGAACATTGATTTGTTTTCTTGTGGTCTAAATAACATTGTAACACTTGTTTAATTATAATTTCTGAATTGTTGTTCAAGAAATAAAAAGTTGTCAATTGGGTTTAAAGGTGATTGAGATAGTAACTGGTCAGTTATTCTGTTCTTCGTTCTATAAAATATGATTTAGATATAAAAGGAGCTTGAGTCCATCATGACCAAATGTCTATTATTTGTATGTCGGTTAACAATGAGGTAAGCAAATATAAAATGGCTTGTTTTTATAAGTTGGATGAGTTATTGGAATGATTTTTATATAATTTTCTCTATCTGGATTTTGTAGAAAGAAATGAATATTACAAGGGAAAGTGAGTGTTGCTCAGAATGTATACTCCCTAAAGGTAAGAACACTGAAGAGAAACAATAACACTTCCTGGCATAAAGAATCTGATATCAATTCTAAGTTATACATTGTATTAAACAGATATCAAGAAAAATAATGCTAGTTTTTGTTTGAAGTGAAAGTAACTGTAAATAACGGATTTTATTTTCACTACAGCATGTAAGGATACAGACTGTGACTCGTCTCACAAAAAAAGTTTTGATTTAAGATTGTGTGTAAATAATATTGAAATGCTCATGGCATGAGTATTTTAACTTAAAAGATTTTTTTTGAAAATTCTGGTAGATCTTTAAAATGTCTTGTAAATGTGCATTGTAATCAGCAATGGAAGTATTGATCCACTGATACATATATGTTTATTTCTTTGTATTTCAATGGATTTGTTGACTCGCTTACATTATTCTCTTTTTTAAATATATAATTTTGTGTAAGAGTTTATATAAATACTTCATTTTCATCTTTGCTAGTTTTTTCGATCAGCACATCACAATTCTTAATTCTGCAGTAAGGTGGCCAGACTATATTATCTTATCATTTATCAATAAAATTTAAATTAAATTTCAAAGGATTGAAATATATAATTGTTTTGGCGATTTCCAAGGTCAAGTCATGGCTCTTTTTGTACCTCCTCCTTAAGAAATCTTCCTTATAATCTTTTAGATACTTGTACCAATGAGAGTCCACCACGTTACCATGGCATATGGAATGTAACTGACTGTGAATTCTGCTCATGTAGACAGGGTAAAGTTCAGTGCTTTACAGCTGTATGTGAACCTGCTATTTGTCTAGAGGTTTGTTAAATATTTCTATTTAATATACTTTTCATATCAAAGGAATTTTCATAACTAGTCATAAAGAGTAAATTTGTCTGTTGGAGGCATGAATGCTAAAGGTTATATATAATTAATCAGGAATTTTATTACATATTTTTGCCTGGGTTGGAAGGAGTCCAAAACCAGTTTAAAGTATGTGATGTAGGAGGCAGGGAGAAGGTGGAACCTTATTTGTTTAATCAATATATCCTACAGTTTTCAACCAAATCCTTGAAACTTCACAGAAAGATTGGACACACATGTTGAAGTGTACCTCCTATTATTGAATTATTTGAGGAATGTTTTCCCATTTCATCCAGACTTGGGAACATGGTAATATTTCAGCAAAATTACAAAACACTTTAGTGTAACCAAATACTCCTTCAGTTTTCAATCCAGATCTTTGAAACTGCTATTATGGAAGTGTTTGAATATTTTTTCCTGTTTTGCCCAACTTGTTGATATAGTGTGCAATTGGTTTATGTATTTTATGTTTAGTAGTTTGTTTAAGGTTTATTTTAAGTTTAGGGTTAATTTAGAGAGATGGCTATATGAATGGATCCTCTGAAGTAAATGAATGGCAAATTTTTTAACAAATTTAATTTTTTGCCTTTTAAATCATAGGCTCAAAACACAAAAGCTGGAATTTTTTTATTTTTATTTTGTTTCACCTGCGACGAAAGTCGCGGAAAGCGAGACATAGAGATTGCTTTTCCTGTTTCCAGCTACGGCGGTGGTGGCGTCAACAGTTGTTAAGTTTTCTGCTTAAGTTAGTTTGATAATAACTACTTGTGATAGATCATTGATATTTAATATAAAGTTGCATTAATATCAGTACATATCAGTTTGACGACTATTTCGAGGTCCTGCTCTCTAGGTCATGGTCCAATGACTTTGAATTAATAAGTAATTTTCAATGTTAAGTTTTCTGCTTAAGTTAGTTTGATAGGATCTTCTTGTGATAGATCAAGGATGTTTTGTAAGAAGTCGCATTACTATCAGTACATATCAGTTTGATGACTTATTTTGAGGGCCTGGCCACTAGGACATGGTCCAGTGACTTTGAATTGATAAGCAGTTTTCAATGTTAAGTTTTCTACTGGAGTTAGTTTGATAGGATCTACTCGTGATTGATCAATGATATTTTGTATGAAGTTGCATTAATACTATCAGTACATATCTGTTTGACGACTATTTTGATGCCCTGCCCACTAGGTCATGGTCCAGTGACTTTGAATTAATTAGCAATTTTCAATGTTAAGTTTTCTACTTAAGTCAATTTGATAAGAACTACTTGTGACAGATCAATGATATTTTGTATAAAGTTGCATTACTATCAGTACATCTTAGTTTTTTGACCATTTCTAGGCCCTGCCAACAAGATCATGGTCTAGCGACTTTGAATTAATAAGCAATGTTGCTGTCCATCAGATTGTCTTTTTCTGAATTTTATGTGGATAGGCGAGACATATCTCTGTGTCAACAGTTTATTTAAATGTTAAAGCTATTCTATATAACTCAAGGCCTATTGTAAAATCAAAGGTGTCACCCATTGCTTTATTGAAGAATAGGAAATTCCTTAATAGCTCCGATAAATTTTAAACTTGCTTAACTAAAACAGGAGAGACTCTACAGGCACTGCAACACGTATATAAAAACAATAAATTTAACAATAAACACAGGCATACATGACAAACAAGGATGACTTTAATTCTTAGTATTGCTGCTTATATATTGTAAATTCCAATGTGAGACACAAAAAAAACTTCATCTCCATCAGATTCATTCAAAAGAAAAATTTCAGATTCGCTCGCCGCCCCTCAATTTCATCTGAAAAATCTGAAGAACAATTTATTTTTTTGGTGTGGCCTTAATAATCCATTTTCTTTCTCTTCCATTACTTTGATCACAAACTTTTCTGTCTCTTCATTATGAATGCTACAGACTTTGTCTTGGTTTATTTAATTGTTTGCACCTGACTTTATATTGTCATCTTAAGACATCAGTATTGTGGGTGTTTATTGCTTATGTTGAAACCACATACTTCATATTTGTTTGGTTTTTCATCTATATACAGGGAAGTTGTCTCGAATACATCTATTTCTCATCAGTTAAATTTGAAAAGGCTATGACTGTCTTATTTATAGCACTAGAAACAGTGGCTCTTTTCTCCAAAAATCTTAAGAGAAAAAGTACTAGTATTAAGTCATATACATTTCAGTATAACTTACGATCAATTTTAATCTTCAGTTTTTTTGTGAAAAGAGTCGCACATTCTTTAAGCACATTGATCACTGAGAAAATGTAATTTATGCAAAAAGTGATAAAAACCATTTTTAATCTGATTTATTTGTTTCAGAATGAAATGTTGATACATCAGCCTGGTAAATGCTGTAAAGAATGTGTACCAAGACCAACATGTTATTTTGGAGGAGAGATTTTCCATGTGAGTTTAGTTTTTCAGTATCTGCACTCAGATTTTTAAATGGGAAGGCCATTCAAGCTGATGAAATTGCAAGTTAAAGTATGAATAGAAGAAATGTACAGTATACATCAATGAGACAGTAACCCAAAGACAAAAAAGAACAAAAACATATGATTTTCAAACAATAAACAAGTGACTTTACAATATATCTAGCTCTAATTATGAATGACTCTAGGAGTAGGGGCTATATTGCAGTCACCTTGTCTGTCCATCCATTAATCCTTTTGTCCAACACATTTTTGTTCACACTATTCTCAGGTACAGTTGAATAAAATGACTTCATATTTGGTCAGCAACTGGGCAGTGTTGAGTTGTAGTGTGCTTTTTTGATCTGTCAGACACCTACTTCCTGTTCGGGCATACTTTTAATTTTTCAATATTGAATGTGTTGAATGAAATTAAAAATTTAAATTTATACATCATATTTCTCCAGTAATATTGAACAGACTTACTTCATATTTACTCAGCAGCTTAACAGTGGTAAATTGTAAAGTGTGAGCACAATTCATACCTGTGGGACCTCTACTCCATGTGCAAGGATACTTTGAGTTGGAATGTGTGAACATTTTGCAGATCTGTGAGACAGGTTCATAGTGTTTGCAAAACCGTGAATGTAAATATCCGTGAAAATACAATTTTTCCTCAATCCACGAAAAATTAGTACCCACGAAAATAAATGAATCTACAGTACAAGCGAGGGTATGCTTTGCATGACAATGTCTGTATTGTTATTGTCTTATGGTACAGGCATTTCTACCTATTTTTTAATGACCAAATTCGTTTTTAACTCTTTAGTAATAACTTTCCATTTTACTGTTCTTTACCTGTTGATATACTACATATAATTCGCGAACTCAGTTATATAACTCTTCATGCCTATAATGAAATTGTTTTGCAAAATCTTTTAATAGAAATATAACAAATTTCTTTAAATTTTAGCAATTAACATAAAAAAAAATGAAGAAAACACACCACCAAGTTAAAACTTAAGGTTGATAACTTGCTAGATATCTATTTAAAATTTTAATGACTTAATATTTGTATCTGATAGACTGGAGATAGTTGGCAGCCAAACAGTTGTACCTTATGTCAATGTGGACACGGAGATATGGTGTGCTTCAGTAAATCCTGCCCTCTTTGTCCAGAAGGAAGTATAGGTGTACCACAGCCTGGTGAATGTTGTGGGAAATGTCAGAAAAGTAAGAAATTATTTGTACCCTAGATATTCAGAAGTAATTGTTATTTTACTTTTGCTTCAAAAAAAAAGGAAATTATTATTGAGTGTATAATTCAGCTAGATATTTAAAAAAGAAAAGCATGTTTTATCAAATCAAAATGAAATGGAAAATTTTAAGGAACAAAAAGATTAAGTCAGACTTGTTTGTGATTTTGACAGGCTCTGTGAAAATTTACTAGAACAAGTTAAAAAAAGTTTTAAAAAAACTGATAAAAGATCAAGAATTAAATTAAAAGACCTTAAACAAAGTAATTGATGCAACTTAAAGTAATCTGTGTCCTTTCATTTCAGTGTCCTGTGCTTCAGAATGTAAGCATTGTAAAGTGACAGACTCTAATTACTGTACAGAATGTAAGATCTCAGGGCTGTATCTACAGGAGGGGATATGTGTACAAAAGTGTAAAGATGGTCTCTATGCAGACAGGAAGAACAAATGTCATGGTAGGTCAAAGTTGATTAAGACTGCATAAAGGGACACCCTCATAATCTGTGCTGAATATAATACAAAAAACTGTTGTTTTCACAGCAATCTATACTCATTATTTTCTAAATTTGGTGATGTATTCATATTAGGTAAGATCCAAGTTTGAAATATGTGCAATTTATATTCACATTATTTTTCTACTGCCAAAGTTATCATAAATCAATTGCTTCTGAAATTTAGTTTGTTTACAATGTCTTTCCGTCTATTTAAACCTTAATTCATCTGATGAATATCTTGTAGGTTTAACACTTTATATCTTGGTGTATTAAAAAAAAAGATTGTCAGCAGATTAAATTGCGGGACAAAGCAATTACTTTGACTCATCTGAGTTTTCAACACAACCGAGTTCAGCACAAAGAGGTTCAACTGTATTATGAATTTCGTTACCATATAAAAATAAGGAGATGTTCCCTAATAGAATCAAAATCTCATTGTTATAAGAAATAGTTTATTCTTCTTCTTTTCAGCTTGCCATGATAGTTGTAAGACATGTGTTGATATAACAAGATTTCATTGTCAGACTTGTAAACCAGGATTATTGTGGAGAGAGGGGGAATGTGTATCCAGATGTGGAATGGGGTACTACCAGGAGACCACACATTGTTACAGTAAGTAGTAAACCAGGGTTATGTGGAGACATGGTTACCTGTATCCAGCTTTAAAATAGGGTACTTTCAGAAAACACATTGTAACAGTGGGTAAATGCGGAGAGATGAATAATTATTTATCTAGACATTGAATAGTGTACTATGTGGAGACCACACATTATGACACTATGTAGTAAAATAGAGGAGATGAATCTAGGTGTGATATGGAATACATTCAGGAAAGTGAACAGTAAATTAAGATGCTCTACTGCCAACATTTTCAATTGACCTCAGCAATACACTGGAAGAATTCCAAAAACAGTGTTGATGGATTATTTGGTGGCGGTGGGGGAGCTTTTGCCACATGAAAAAATGAAAATAATAGGGTAAATCAACATTGTAAGACCTTTTTTTATTTTCAGCAAATTTAAAAAGTATTGGGGATCAATTATTAAGGCCCCATTCACTAGTTGGGGGCGCCCTATAGTAATCACTCTGTTTTTATTGGAGTTATTTCCCTTGAAAATATAACAGATACAGAATATTTCATAATATTTCCTGGGGATAATCTTTTTTTAAATGGGATATAAGACAGTTTTAATCTTTTAGTTTAAGCATATTGGAGATCTCCTAAATGATACTCAGTGATTTTTAACTTTAGGTAAAAGATAAAGGTCATTGAGTTTTTCTGATGAAGGTCGTGGTTCTCTACCAGTTCTCCAGCTTCCTCTACTTATAAAAACTGGACTCCATGAAATAACCAAAAGTGCTGAAAATCACCTAAAATCAATCAATCAAAAATGCCTGTGATCATTCTGTCATCTGTTGTCAGTACCTTCAAAACAATATTCCAAGTGAATACAGTTCTCATTATATTGTCATTTTTATGACTTTGAGATATTTGGTAGCTTTGAAAAATCATAAAATAAAAACATTTGTTACTGTGCTGGTTTTTGAGAAAAATGAGAAAAATTTGCAATTTTGAAAATTTCTATTCAATTTTCTGCCAATATTAAGATTATTAAAATACTTATATTTTTAACAATACAATTGTCAGTTTGGTATTGTTTAGAAGCTCTGATAAATGTGCATAAGTGTGTCCTGTGATGTACTTTTGTTGCAGATCAGCAAATGACTAATTTTCTGTTTTGATATTTAGGTTGTGATACAAGCTGCAGTTTGTGTTTAGGACCTAAAGACAACCAGTGTCTAGCTTGTTCCCAGAATGGTCTGGTCCTTCAGTCTGGCAGATGTATGGACCACTGTTCATCTAGTTTTTACCTGCAAAATGGAGAATGTTTGGGTAATTAATTTCAGCATGATCTCAAAAACTGTATAGTCACATGCATTGCCACCTTTTGATCTGACTGCTTGAAGGCTAAATAACTAGAATTTAAAAAAATATCTGCACTTGACTTTTCTAAAATAAGAAGGAATTTTATCTGATCCAACATGTGAAACGGGAAATAAAAAAAAATTATGGGGTGAGGGTATCTTTTTGTGGGTTAACTCACAGTTATAGTTTTTCTCAGAATTTATCAGAATTGATTCTATTTTTTTAGAATGTCCAGCTACATGTCAGACATGCTCTAGTGATGGTCAGTCCTGTACTAGTTGTTATGACAGTCTTGTACTACGCAGAGGTCAGTGTTTGTCTCAGTGTCCAAAGCAGTATTTCCCATCATATGGTGCCTGCCATGAATGTCATCCAAGCTGTAAATCATGCTCTGGACCAACTGATACAAACTGCCGTAGCTGTGCAGATGGCTCGAAGCTTAGTAAGAAAGGAAGATGTAAGATGCCATGTTTGGACGGCCAATATTTGAAGAAAGACGGTACTTGTAAAGGTAAGTTCTATAGAATATTGTGGATTTTTCTTGGGTTCCAGTTTTCATGGATTTAAGAAAATGATGTCTTCATGGATTTTTTAAAGAAAAAATCTTAATTCACACTTAAAGAAAACCTGTATTTTTGTTAAACACTTAAATTCATGGTTCACCTTTACTCACATAATCCATCAAGAAATCCCCTTATGTTTCTTATTTTCAATTTTTTACCTTTTTTCTAAAGTTAAAGAAGCATATATAACAGTCCAAGTTAAAAAAAAAGTCAAAATATAAGCTTTTTGACTGGACAGATATGTAATATCTAGTTCTTAATGATAAGAATGATTTATTTCAATCTGATGAATGGCCAGATAGTAATTATTGAAATTTTCATTTGCTTCTTTCTCAAAAAAATGTACTGGTAATCGTTTCAGTGAAATCAGTCTGCTGATTGGATAAGAATAATGATGAATTATGATAAACAAGTTGCTTTTTTTAAAAAAAGAAATGCAATCGTAAACCCAAATGCTTGCTTGGCATTAGATATAAGATAATTGTTTAAAATAAAAGATTTATTATTTTATATCATTTTTGTTATATAAGAATTAGAAACTGACAGTGGCTGTTTACTTAAAGTAAATACTGTTCAATGTGGGGTAAAATATTCTTGTTAAAGGAATATTTTTTTCTCTCCTCTCTCCCGAAAGACATCATGTTAAGTCACCCACTTGACGTTCCATTCTAAGATGCTGGTTTTTGTTTTTAAATTAGAGTTAGTTTTTAGGCTAAAGTTCAAATGCAAATGTGAAGAAATTTAATCAGTTAATGATTATATGTGTTTAAGAAATGCAATACGTGAACCTGTAAAATAGCCGTTTTTATTGGAATTTGAGATATGTTCATGGTTATTGAACAATGGCTTGATATTGATCATTATTTAGATCCTTACACCTGCTCTGCAAGGTTTGTTTATGCTTAGGGTAGCAAGCATTGGCAATTTTAAGTTCTGTGCTTTGTGTATGCTCTTAAAAGTTTTAGATGACAAACCTCTTTTGTTAAAAACAAACACTTTTAAAACCTTTGACTCGCTTTGAAGATATTTTCCGGATGTCCCTTTTTATTTTGATGTTTTCTTATATTTTAAATTGTGGGTCATGAAAAAAGGCCTGCAAGTTTAATTGTAAATATATACAATTTGAATAGCACTGTATCCTCTTCACCTTGATGACCGAAACCAATTCATTAAAAAAGATATTTATAGCCTAGACAAAACAGCTTACACCTTGTACTTATAAACAAACAAACAAAATTGAAAACAACAACAAAACTAACATGGTCAAACCTGAAATTACCACCGATCGGTATACCCATCACCTAAATATGAGTTTGTTTAAAGGTCACATTTATGAACTGTTGTAAGGTGTTCCTTTTTGTCGAGCCTTCGACTTAAGTCGAAAAAGCGAGACAAAGCGATTCTACATTCCGTCGGTGTCGTCGGCGGTGGCGTCCACAAATATTCACTCTGTGGTTAAAGTTTTTGAAATTTTAATAACTTTCTTCAACTAATCTGGATTTGTACCAAACTTGGACATATGCTTGTTTATGATCATAAGATAGTATCCAGAAGTAAATTTTGTAAAAATGAAATTCCATTTTTTCCGTATTTTACTTATAAATGGACTTAGTTTTCTGCTGGGATACAATACATTCACTCCGAGGTTAAAGTTTTTTTGAAAATTTTAATAACTTTCTTATACTATCCTGGATTTGTACCAAACTTGGACAGAAGCTTGTTTATGATTAAAAGCCAGTATCTAGAAGGAAATTTTTTTGTTAAAATTTTGTACCTGTTTATCTGTATTTTACTTATAAATGGACTTAGTTTTTCTTCCAGTTAACATTACATACAGTCTGAAGTTAAATTTTTTAGATTTATAAACTATCCTGGATTTTTCCCAAACTTGGACAGAAGCTTCTTAAAATAAAAAAAAAATAGTATTGAGAGGAATATTTTTATTGATGTTTTTTCTCATTTTTGTTGAGCCTACGATTTACAGCAAAAGTAGGCGAGACACTGGGTTCCGCGGAACCCTTACGATTTTTTTATCTGAACACGATTTTTTCATTAAATATCAAAGGGTGTCTTTTACATGGTAAAATTACTCTACTGTCTTATGGTATGTATGTAAATTCTTTTAAACCAAGTGTATTCATAAGCACATGTCCCAAGTCCGAAGCATGTTGTTTAGTGGTTGTCTTTTTTTGGTGCAGTTCATATTTGCTTTTTGTTTCTGGTTTGAAGTTAAATAATTAGATCTGTTTGTTTTTTCCTGTTTAAATTGTTTTATAACAGTGTTTTGGGGCCCTCGGTAGGATGCTGTCCAATGTGAGCCAAGCTTTTGTGTTGAAGACTGAATTATAACCTATAATTGCTAATATTAATTTTGACTACACTGTGTTTTGATGGAGAGTTGTCTTCCTACCACATTTAAAAATATATTCCCTGACATTTGACAAATCCATTAGAATAATCGAGATATTGAAATTGAACTGAAGTTGCCTAGTAAGTTTCTTACATTAACCCGGCTATCCTTTTTCTCTCTTGCTGGATAGTTTTATACTGGTCATTTGGGGGCACTGTGTAGCCTACTGAGCAGTGAGATGGCTCAAAATCTTCTTACACTATTTTACATTTTCGTACTTAATATATTAAAACCGAAAATTCATTATCTGATCGTCTTTATGAAATAATAATTATTTATTTTTATTTTGACGAACATTTTGAAGAGCATTACTTACTACAGGCCGAACATATAGTTAGATAATCTGTTCCTTGACCAAGATAACTATAAATAGAAATTAATTTTTCTTATCTCTGCCTGCATCTGTCATCACTCGGAGTCTATTAATTAATAGACATTCGATAAGGAAATAACGTTGCAATATTTAAACAAAGAAAATTGCAATTTTAAAGAAAATAAAAACTATTCAAGGACGTATATCAATTTAGATTACATACGTCCTTGGTCTATCCTAGACGTAAAATTTCAAAAAAGTGCAAGAAAGACTTCATTTTAATTTCAGTATTGTCCTTTAGTTAGTCCCACAAGGACGTTGAGGTATGAAAATTATGAAATAGCCTGCTTCGTTCATTATGTACATTTTCCCTAGACTCGGAATCTTAAGTGAAATGCTAGTAATACTTCTTTTATAGATTTTAGTTTTAACAAATCTCGTTTCGAATATAAATCGCATTGTTTACGTGAAATCTTATCTCATATCTAAACACAGCTGGTTTCAACGTTTGACTCTAATTAGAATAACTACGCATATATGTAAGGTAAATATTAGCAGCTTGTAATTGCGTGCAAGGAAGTATTCAAATGCTTATTAAAGTAGCTTGCGTTATAATAAATTTTGCATCATATGTAACATATCTCTATAGCAACTTTAAGATGCTAATGATTCAACAGGTCATGCAAATGATAAGCTATTGCGCATGTATATGAAAGGTGGCCATAGAAAGAAACAGATGTATTCCGAATAACATCCGGTGTTCCGAAAGACTACGGACATCGTCCAATATATACTGCGTAAACCCTCAGGGGTTTACGCAATTATGGTTGAATTACAAAATGTGTGTTCAATTTTTGCTTTATCAAACCCTAATCTGCATGACATCACATAATCGATATCAGTCATGTTTACAAAGTCTTTATCAAACCCCTTATATGTATTACTTCATATCCCCTGAAAAACATCTGCATAAGTTTTACTTGAGGTACATGTATAATAAAGTGTATATGATATGGCCTTTTCAATATCATACACTGTATCAACCCTCAACCAATTTGATTCCTCCAGCAGAGCTCTTGAGACTATATTAGTGTCTTGGGTTTAAACAGGTGCAATATTGAAAAATCAATGAAAATATTCTCTATGAGTATATCACTTAATTAAGTCATAATCTTGAGGGAAAAAAGTTTATTATAATTAGCATGACTCACATGGAGATTGGAACACTGATGTACTATATTTTTAACTTCAGATTGTGGATTTGGATGTGGTAAATGTCACACATCAAGGGATGGAACTACATCAGTATGTTTACAATGTCTGAACCCTTCAATGGTGGCATTTGATGACATTTGTATGAGGGCATGTCCTGTTGGAAGATATAAGGAGCTGGGTATTTGTAGAGGTAAGTTTTGTCATGGTGATGACATATGTACGAGAACTTGTCCTATTGGAAGATATAAGGAGCTGGGTATTTGTAGAGTTAAGGGTTGTCATGGTGATGACATACATGTGTGTATGAGGGCTTGTCCTATTGGAAGATAAAAGTGCTTGATATTTGTAGAGGTAAGTGTTGTCATGGTGATGACATCTGTATGAAATTTGACTGTTTTTTTCCTTTTGTAGCATAATGACAACTTAAGAGTGCTCCTCCTCTTAGACCTAATGTCCACAAATTTCATATTTAGTGAGTTTGTTTTTCATTATGTGTACTGGTACTCAATTATTTTTAGTAGAAAATTCCAAACAATTTAAAACATGTCAAATTTAACAGTTGACAGTTATAAAGAGGGGGAAAACTTTTATCATTTATCATTTAATAATATGTGTTGCATTGATAGGTAATTGATTTTTTTCAGTATGTGGAAGTGGATGTCTTCGATGTGAATCAATCAGTATATGTCATGCCTGTGGACCTAACCAGATTGTATCTGATGGGATATGTGTCAGACATTGTAAACCTACACAGTATGTAGATGGACGGCAGTGTAAAGGTAGGCAGTTCTAGAAGGACTTTGTCATTTGTACATTCAAGTAAAGATAGATCACCACGAAAGTTGGCTAGAAAGAACTTAAAGTGAAATAAAGTATGCGCAAAAATAAGTTGGTTTACAGCAGTTAAACATTTGTGCTTTTGTAATTGTATTTTTGGTCAAACCGTTAAAGACTTTAAAATTGGTATTTGCTGCTCCTCTGCTAAACATGAAGCATTAAGGAATAAGAGCAAAGACTGGTTGACTTGAGTCAGAATACTTGTATTGTGTCCTGGTAGGGTGACACATCTTTCTGAAGACTGTTACCTTGCGAACTAGCACATAAATAATATGGCTCAGAGTGTTGGTCTAGTACATAGCAAGAGTTTATATTCATATAGCATTAACATGTTCTCATCCTAAATATACACTTAATTTGCCATATGATGTTTAGTTTACTAACTTGGGAAGTCTCCTATGGGTATGGCCTTTTATGGAAATTTTTTTTAAGTATGATTATCAGATCAATTTGTTGATTGTAGATTGTCCAGAGCATTGTATGGAGTGTATGTCTAATACAGACTGTTCTCAGTGTAATGGTCAGACCTTCTTGTTAAACAGACAGTGTGTTCCAAGCTGTGGAAAGGGATACTATCAAAATAAAAAGTCAAGGAGATGTGAAAGTAGGTATACTTAAGCTGTTTTTTTATTTGAACTATTATTATGATGTAAGGGGAAAATATTACTTTAAAGCATTTATCATGGAACTCTAGAGATTATCCTTATATGAAATGAGATCCTTAATTCTAAAAATAATAGGGGGGGGGGGGGGGGGGGAGATTCAGCAGACATGACCTAAGATTTTGATGTATTAAGATAAATCATATTGACATATATGAACAAACATGAAAATACATATTGTTTTAAATATTTCTGTAACTCATTGTTATTTATATGTTGTCCCGCAGAGCATGTACAATCATGGATGTTCAATTGTTGGGTTGTATTGGGATTTAGAATATTCCTTCCTAATAACATGTAATTGTTGTCTGCCAATAAAAAAAGTAATGGAATCCTTATGAAACCTTATTTTATGTTTTAGGAAATGAACAACCTCCCATGATACAGTTAACAGGACACATACAAGTTGAGGAGAAAGATATCACTGAAATACCTGCCTCTATATTCAACTTGAATGACCCAGACACACCTTGGGATAGCCTTGTTATCATTGTAACTGAACCTCCAACAAATGGCAATCATATAGTCAAGGCTAATTTGGGAATGGATGTCATATTGGAGGCTGGAGATACTATTACTCCACAGGAATTAAAAGATGGAAAAGTCAGATTTATTCACAATGCTCCTGTTGTTTCTGCTGGTAAAACAACTTAAGAATATCTTTTCTTACTAACCATACTCTCACCATAAAATTTACATAGTATAAACCTATTTGTATTACTTTTCATCAGATCTATTCTTTTTGTTACAGTGAATATTTAAAAAGTGCTAAGACTTATAGCTATCCTACTGCTAACTAGATTCATTAATATTAGTGGAGTAATTAACAACTGCTAAGCTAACAAAGCATCCACAATTAATAGCAGTAAATTTAATCTGTATTAATAATTCTAGGAACTCATGGTTGATAAATATAATTACTACACATACCCTAAGTAAGGTGAGAGTAGACGTCTCATTGCTGATAATCACAATCTTTATCAATCTTTCTGACAATCATAGCTGATCACAATAATCTTATTACATCTGTAAATAACATTCATAGTTCTAAATAGTTCTCTCTTTCAGAGTAATGCAGATATTATTTCTGATTTTCAACGATTCTCTTTTATTTCTTCGCTCTCATTTTATTACATCATTACATCAAAATAACTTTGATTCATCAAAACGCACAACTGATCAAGACTCTTAAATATTAAAATATTTGCATAACGCTTTCCAAAACGCAATGAACCTTATTCCGGACTTGTCATAAAAATCTAAATAGCTTCTCCATAACTAAACTTACAACTTGTGAATGAATTATGACTTTAATAACTTCTATATCTTTATTCTAAAACTGTCTTAAACGTGTAACAACTTAAATTATCGCTTTTCACCTAAACCACATGCTACATGTGATATGCTTCTCACTCGAAAATTTACTATGATAAAAACTTGTTTTAAAACAATAATATTACTTCATAATAATCATAATTCAACTTACAATATTTGAATGTTCACAATTCTGTTTCCAATTACACACGTCACATTGTGTTCCCAAAAACTTGTCAGTGAGTGACAAAAATAAATGTCAACCTCTTTAAACTACCCACGCTATTATCTGTGCAATCGCAGTCAACTTTAACCTACGAGAGTATCAAAAATCTCTTTTTACAATAAAATTAAAATCTATTTATTTTTATCTTTATCTTCTTTTTATATATTCTTTGAATATCTTAATCACTAAATAGTAATTATTTTAGAGTAAAAATAATTTCCAAACTAAATTTCAATAACTATACAAAGGGAAACAATTCAATCCAAAATTTATCAAAATCTCAATCTCTCATGCTACACTAATTTTAAAGGAATTCATCAAAAACAATGGTTAGTGTTAAACAACAACAAAAAATTAGAGGCTTGAATGCAGAATTTACCTAAACTGCAAAGTCATTGGTATCCATGAATTTTTTTTTTCATCAGTGCATGAAAATTGGTAGCAATCAGAAATTGAATGAGACCATGTATACAAGATTGATTGATTGATTGGTGATTAACAACACTTTCAGCACTATTGGCTATTTCATGGTAGTCAGTATTAATTGGTGGATGAAGCTGGAGAGAACCACAACCTTCAGTAGGAAAACTGACAATCTTAGTCAATTAAAATTGAAGTGGAATGCAATTGCCATGTGCGGAATTCACACTCACAACTTCAGTGTTGACAGGCTAGTGATACAGTAGTTTGACTACTTAGACCACTCGGCCATTGAGGCCCCCATGTATACTAGACCTGGATGTGATGTCTGAAAAAAAAATCAAACCTGCTATGTATGAACTCCACAAAGAACAATGTTACTGCTTCTGAAAATATAGGTTTAAATGTTTAATCTTTCAACACCTTAATCAGTATACACACAATATTAATTTGAAAAAATATAAAATAAAGTTAGTTCTTTTTCGTAAGATGACTTTCATTAAATAAAACATTCTTATGTTTACAGGAAGGATAACATTTAAAGCATTTGACAGACAGTTATATAGTACAGAGAGAGTTCTACATATACAAGTTATCAATGACCACCCTCCTCAGCTTGTCAGAAATGAACATGTTCTGGCCACTGTAGGGGAGATAACTCCATTTGATAATCAAATCTTAGAGCTAAAAACTTTGGATCCTGTGAAAACATTGGTTAATGTTATTGAAGGTAGGAAATTGTGATATTTAGAAAGAAACATGATGACTTAAAGAATATAATTAGGAATTGTCAATAAGACAGCAAACCAACAGCACAATAAAAAACAAAAAGAAATCTTGAAGACAGCATAGTCTTTTAACAATAGACAAATATCATGGTTTCCTAATTTGCATTCTTGGTAATATTTTCAAAAACTTACACCAAAAACGCTGTAATTAGCTTACAACATTGTTGTTTTCGTTTTGGGATAGGAACAATGAAATTACCCATGGTTCTTTAGATTCTGAGGAGGTGAATTCTGTCCTTAATGAAGCTACTTTTAAATTTTATTTTACCTATATTATATCCATAATAGGAATGTTTGCACAAATGGAAAGGCTCTGATTTGATGTATCTAAATTTTAAATATTACATTTGTTTCAGGTCCTCTGCATGGGAAGTTCATTGATCAAGGGACACAGTCACCTGTTACCTCTTTCTCAGTAGAGGAACTACATACCAGTTCTATAGGGTACCAGTTAAATCCATTAGTAAAGGCAGACACAGACATGTGCATTATACAAGTCACAGATGGCTATCATGTCCTCAGTTTCATCGTCAATTTTGAAATTAGGCAAAAGGTTGGACTTCTAATTGAAATTATTAAATTACTATGTGATAAATTATAACAGGAAGAATTTGCTATGGCTTATTTACAAGATCATACTTTTCATTTTTTGTTGATAATGCAACTGTATGAAATACATCAATAGTATTATATAGCTTCATAGCAACACTTTGTGGCTATATTATTATGAAAAAGTGATTTTTTAAAAGAAGCCATAAAAATACAAAAGTACAGTAAGAAAATTGAAAACCTAATATCATGGGTGTTACTACTAGTGTTAAAACAATAACAACAAATAATATAAATCAATTGTTTAAAAAACAATTGTTAACGGTCTTTCCCCTCCGAAATATGATGATTGATTGATTGACTAATTGATTGATTGATTGATTGATTGATTGATTGATTGATTGATTGATTGATTGATTGATTGATTGATTGATTGATTGATTGATTGATTGATTGATTGATTGATTGATTGATTGATTGATTGATTGATTGATTGATTGATTGATTGATTGATTGATTGATTGATTGATTGATTGATTGATTGATTGATTGATTGATTGATTGATTGATTGAATATACACGTAGGATAGGGTCGCTTAAAACAAGCAAACACGAAACAAATGATATCTTGGACCTGTATTAAACACAAGGGACCACAACAAGCATGTAATGGTTGGTTGGTTGGTAGGTAGGTGGTTTGGTTGGTTGGTTAAACACATGGGGCCGATCCACTAGGACACGCAAAAAGGGAATTGAGAGTCTAGTGCCCGTGTTTAAACTCGGAACACGTGAAAAAGGCATTGAGAGCCTAGTGCCCGTGTTTAAACACTTGAGACCTAGCCTCTAGGAACACGTGAAAAAGGCATTGAGAGCCTAGTGCCCATGTTTAAACACTTGAGACCTAGCCTCTAGGAACATGTGGTAAAGGCATTGGGAGCCTAGTGCCCGTGTTTAAACACTCGAGACCTAGCCTCTAGGAACACTTGAACAAGGCATTGAGAGCCTAGTGCCCGTGTTTAAACACTCGAGACCTAGCCTCTAGGAACACTTGAACAAGGCATTGAGAGCCTAGTGACCGTGTTTAAACACTCGAGACCTAGCCTCTAGGAACACGTGAAAAAGGCATTTAGAGCCTGGTGCTCGTGTTTAAACACTCGAGACCTAGCCTCTAGGAACACGTGAAAAAGGCATTGAGAGCCTAGTGCCCGTGTTCAAACACTTGAGACCTAGGCTCTAGGAGCACACGAAAACGGGTCAGTGCAACATTTTAGTTATATTCAAGTTATGATATTTGTAGGAACATGCAAGGATTTAAACAGGCCTTCAAAAATATCCTTGCATCTTTCTTTATAAATGTTCTTTTTTTTTTATAGTGCTTCCCGGAATTTGTGTCTTATTTTTTACTTATTGATCTTATTGTGTGTGCATTGTATTCAATTTTGTATTTAAAATGGCCCAACCTGACCTGCATGGATCTTTTGTATTTAACCTATGTGATTAATTCTTTCCGAAAAGGGGGAAACCCCTATTTTATTTTAGGTAGCAGGTGTTGCACCGGATGGTTGACATGATTGTGACGTCACCAAGCTGATTGATATACACAGAAAGACAGTTTATTTAATTTAGTTGCAGAGAGAGACGTCGTTCTGACCACACCTATGTATAAAGAATGTGCAAATGGATTTAATTTTCTTTCATTTACAGGTCATTGAAGTCTGATCGTGCATGCTTTTTTCATACACATATTTACGGGAACACAGATTTCATTTTAATGCATGTTTAGACATTTGATTCTAGGATTTTACTACTATTTACGAACTTTGGAGGGAATTCTACGTAATTGATTTTAATTTCTCAATCCAGATTGGAACGTTAAGCGGACTGCACGTGATTTATACTGCTAACGGAAAATATATTTTTTCGATTTTTTTTACAGGTAAACTATTGTCCAATCGCTGACCACTGGTCGACTCATTCATTGCATGCACACAAAAACAATGCTGGTGTTATAGTACTTTAACAAAACGTTTATCAATTAATTTTCAGAAATACATGTACATGATTTGGAGCAGATATTTTATTTTGCAGGAATAGATTGGTATTTTTGTATTTCAGAAAGAAATTTATTCATGAAAAAAGAAGGATTAGCATTTTTATAATAAAATAGAAATGGGATTCCTAAAAAAAAAAAAGGGGGGGGGGGTGCTAAATGGGTAGTTGTGGGCATTGGATGATTTACAAAGATAAATTGCATGTACGCATCATGAGAGCTGTAAAGTTTGAAGCTATAATTAGTCAATTTGTTGATTTTTCCATTTCAGTGGCATGAAAACCCCCAAAATACTACGCGTATTATTTCGACAAATATTCACAACATAAATAATGTCGCGACTAACATTTTGCTCACATTTTTTTCAATTTTACCCCTAACTTTTTTCTGAGTAAAAGCAGTTTGAAGTGAATGTCAAAATTTAGAACATGACCTTGACCTTTGACCTTGACCTTATTTTCTAAGTTGGGACCCAAGGACCTTCAATTATACGGCTTACGGTTTATGAGTTTATATGCTTATCACTTATAACAAATACATAAGGGGAAATAACTCTCATATGGAGACTCCGGAGAACTTTGGTGCAAGCCGACTCATCATCTTGAAGATATAGGAAGCACTTTGGTAAAATAAATTTGTCGTAATCTTTTACGGTTGTGAAGGAGTAGTGGATACAAGAAAAACAGTGTTCGGGGAGATAAATCTTACAATGTAAAGTGTACGGTTTAACAGGGTCAGTTCCAAAAGTGCAATAACTGTTCGATATCATATGCGAAAAATCTAAGCGACATCTTGCAAAACCACAATACTACGCAAGAACAAAATGTGGCGGAAGAAAAAAATAAAATCTCAGAACAAAACCAATAGGTCTTTCCATGGAAAAGTGGAAAGACCTAAATATACTAAACATTGAATATTAAAGGAAAACAATTAGGTTAATATTTCTATGTGAAAAGTCCTTTAAATGGGATACTTATGTTAACAAAGAATGAAAAGTTATAGATGTAGTCAGGACAAATAACCAAACACACTTTCCTACAATACAGTATTAAACATTATAAAGGAAGTATATTTTATTAGTTGATGCTTCTTGTATAGTAACAAAGATTTAGATATTGGATCATTGTGACTTAAAATAGTGATGGTTTAAGCTAATATTTGTTATTGAATAGATCCAATTACATCTGATGTCAGTAAGCTGTCATTTACAGTGCCTCCTTGTCTTAATGTCAGTTTTTACTTCCAGGAGAATTTATCTCCCCTGATCGTCAATAATGAAGTGGGACATGTATATGCAAAGGATATGTTACGGATAACACCCACCATGTTGATGGCTAAGTCAATGTCTGATGGCAAAGAGATCATATATACCCTGAACCCTACCACTAATAATCCACAACAAGGTGAGATATTTCTAGTTATTCTCTGGGCCTGTATCACCTTCTCAGCTGTTGTCACAAATCTGTGAACAGTTCTGTTTTACAGATTTGTGACATCTTAATTGTTTGACTTGGCCTCACTAGGTTAAGCCCTGACTCAACACAAATGTCATAATGTTTGATAAATTTTGGTAAGTAAAACTTGTTATTATCAAGTCTTCTAACATAGGCTTGTAGAACTAAGAAAAATTGTTTCTATCATTAAAATCACAAAAATTATATCTGATAAATGTATTATCAAATTTGTCTTATCTAAATACTTCAAAATTTCAGATGTTAATCTTTCTTTTACTCATCAGCTGTGATTACTCGCAAAAAATTTATATTGTGACTCACAACTGATAGTTTACAAAATCAATGTTAGGAAGAAAACCTGATAATCTTAATTGTCTCTAATTCTTAGATGATTTATACTTTCCCTACACTTGACCCCAGTTCTTCATTGGTCAAAATTCAATTTTAACTTTAATATAATTTTCTTACATTCATCTGATTTTGCTATTGTTGCATTTAATTTACAAAAAAGGCAACCATGTCTGATGATGTCACAAAGAAAGAACAGTCTTTTTACAGATCATTGAAAAAGAAAGATAAAATTGCCTACATATCATCTAAAAATCAGTAGAAAAGCAGATGCCATTACCATATCTGGTTCGATCAGATGCAGGTTAGAATCTATATATATATCTCATCAATATATAGGAGAAACCTGTGTCACTCTCCCCATATGGGTTATTAAACAAATGATATTGACCTTGTAAATAAACTCCTGGAATTCTATGAAATTTGGTTGAAGAGGTATCACATCATATAAGAATATTCCTTAAGTTGGCAATATATATCTTTATTGAAGATAGTAAGCCTGGAATTGTGTAATGAAATTAACAGGTAGTTACTTGTTCAGATCCAGGCATAAAGGAGCAGAAAAAGGAAAGAAAAAGGTACTTAACTTAGCGTAAATTGAAATATAAAGCCAGTGGTAAATTTTGCTACATGTGTAAAACTGACAAGACATAAAACTCCCAAAGTAGTATACAATTATTAATCAAAAAGTCAAAAAGGCAATTGGCAGACTTATTCAATAGACCATATTTTTCAGGAGAAATATTAATGCTAGTACCAGTTCCGCCAAATGGTTTAGGTCAAGGCTGGAAAGAAATGGGCAGTGGGAAAATGGCTGCCAAAATGTTTCAGTTTTTGCAGAGAGATATTAACGAGGGTAGAATATGGTATCACAATACAGGCTCAAAGTCCACATCAGATGTTGTTACTTTTGAGGTACTATGATCATTTAAGTTATGCATTTGAATTTAATTCTTACGAATATATTCAAACTGACCTAAGAATGCATGAGTATCTCGAAAACTCAAATCATATACCTTAACATTGATGACTGTTCTCAGGAACTTCAAATTAGAGCTTCTTGAAATTTGGTACCAAGCTTCATGTCAGCATGCTATTCTGTTGGTACTTTTTTATATTCATCTATCGTAACCTTCCTGCTTACAGAATACTTATACATCTTACACATAATGGCAGTGTATGCACATTTTGTCACATTTTTATCAGACACTACGATACCCTACTCTGAAGCAGGGTAAACTGGTTAACATCTGTCCATCTATTTGTGTTTCTGTCAGACAAATGAAATTTTCTTTGTATTTTTTCTCAGGAACTTAACTTTAAGAACCCTTAGATATGGTAACAAGCTTCATGTGTGATCTATTTTCACAGTCATCAGTTATCAACTTCCTGTTTACCAAATGCTGCCTTATCATTTATGAGCAGACGTTCCCAATTGCAACTTTTTTTATTCACCATGGTTATGGTTGTACATACTAAACTAAGTACTTTTGTAGTAATAATTATATGTGTTCCCTATTGGAATTTTGAAACAATAAACTAAATACTACAAACTAGTATTGTTGTGCTTAGTAAAGATTATTTCCCTTAAATTCTGTTTATAGTTATATTTTGCATGTCTGTTTATTTCAGGTTAGAGACTCTTTTGATCCACCAAATGTTTTAAAAGAACAGACTCTACATATAAATATAATGGATCCTCCATTAGATGAGGCCATACCAACTATAGCACCTGGTGTCAGGCTTGGCATGTCGGTAGGTATAATATAGGAACCTCCATCCCATCAAACCAAACCAAACTGCTTGAACTAAACCAATTTCATATGTCTCTATATTCACATAAGTACTTACCTTTTAAAATAAACCACAATAAATTTTTCCTAATAGCTTCTTAACCATGACATCTGGCAAATAGGAAAATAAAGGTGAATGATATAATTCATATTTATTATTATGAATAAATTGAGGCTTAAATCACCATAACATTTTCAGACCGTGTCGATCCTATTAACGCATTATTTTTATATTCAATAGGACTTAGATTTATCTCCTAGTTTACATACAGGTTGGAAGTAAGATTGCAACATAAAAGGGACATAACTCTTACATTACATGATTTATAATATTAAATGAACGTCTAATTTTCAGGTATTTGAAGATCATGTTGTTCCAGTTACCATCTCTGATCTGTTTTTCCATGACCCAGATACACATAATGGAGAAATAATTTACACAATAACAGTTCCTCTGAAACAAGGGGAGGGAACTTTGGAGAATAAAAATTTTCCTCTTCAACCCTTTTCACAGTTTACACAGGCTGATTTGATGCATAACAAGATAGTTTATCATCCACCAAAGTCAGACGTCGGCAAGGAGGAAAGGGAAGTGTCATTTAAATTTACAGGTATGGGAAATTGAGCTTCCAAATTAATGTACAATTTATGTTAAAATTATTACAAATTAATGAATAGATATTTTACAGTAGAAACACTTATCTTTGGTTGGGTTAAAATTTCATGGTTTGTCTCTAAAATTAATTTTCAATGGATGAATATTTTTGATTCCCATAGAGTTTGAAAGTAAATACAGAATCTTTGAGTTAATATGTATTTCTGTAATATTAGTTATATCTCTCTAAAACTTTTGAAAAAAAACATGAATGTTTATGATAAATCTGAGTTCAGATTGGGGAAATTCCCAATTACTAACTGTTTAAATGATTATACCCCACTCTTATGTGATGGCTATATTACCTACATCTTGTCTGTCCATTTGTCATTCTGTTCATTCAATGTGTGTGGTCTTGTTTTAAGTAAATGCTTTTAAAGCATCACTTTTGTTGTTGTTAAAATCATGTTAAAATTGTTTATTTTGAAGGAAGATTTGTACATTATTCATGTATTTCTTTCAGTATCAGATGGCAGAGTCTACAAAGATTTAACAGAATATAAATTCAACATCCGAATCCTACCAGTAAACAATCTGCCTCCATCTTTTTTACATCCATCTGCTGATGTTACAGTAGCACAGGGAGGGAAAATTCCATTAGACAGGGCTACAGTTATGTTGTCTGACCCTGATACATCTGCTGCTGATTTAGTGTTGACTTTAGACGAGGCTCCAAAGAGGGGGAGTTTTGAGAAAGTTTTTAAGAATTCAAAAGTCATCCTGAGACAAGGTATGCAAATACACAAGCCTGCTTCCCTTTGGAAAAGAATGCACTAAAGACATACAACCTTTGTTAAAACCATCACAGTAACTTTTTAAAACTATAGCATATTGCACTGATTAAATATAAATAGTTGTCTCTTTAACAATCATACCACATCTCCTTATAGTCTTTTCTCAACAAAACCGAAAAATCTAGAATTAGGCATGCTGTTTTTTTCATTGGCAGAGGTATCAGTGGTGTATTAGTTTTTGATTAAGTCAGCTTAAAGGGAACCAAGAGTGGTAGTTCAATGTCATTTTGATATGAAGCTGTATTAGCATTGGCATTTCTGATTTCCATAGAAGTTATATGGTTATTTGCACCTTCATTCATGGTTCATTATCTGAATTTTTTGGCATATTTTACAAGTTCAAGTATTGCCATTTTAATTTCAACAATTGCATTAAACTATCATAATTACATAAAGGCCAGACATATATCTGTTCCAACAGTTTAATTTTATATAGAATCTTCTATTAATTTGTGAAGATTATATTTTACTGAATTATGTTTCCTGCTTTAGGAGAAAGCTTTAACTACAAAGAATTCCTGGAGGGTGTGTTTCAGTATAGTCACAGCAGGGATAGTGATATACTCTATGACAGAATTGTATTGTCTGCCAGTGATGGGAAACATGAGACCAGAATGATCATCAACATCACAGTGTTACATGTAGACAAGTCAGCACCAATCCTTCTACCTACTGCTGTCTGTAGGATTCATGTCAGAGAAGGTTAGTAAGCTTGTTCGAATGCATGAATTTGCTATTAGTTAAGGTCTACTTTAATTGGTCCACTGTTCTTGTTTTCATCAATGTAATTTCCATGCAATTACTTCTGTTCTCATTAAATCCAATTTTAGTTGATTGCAATTAGTTTCATAACTATGGCTGTAAGTTTATTTAACAGTTTGAGCATAGAAATTATTTTCTGTTTTTTTTTGCTTATTTTTATCCTGCTTCTTGGAATCCAATAGTTATGCTTAGATAATTACAATAGGCTTTCATTTACTGGTAAATTAATTTAATCGATCATTTAAAACAAAATATCAGTTTTTCCTATAGTTTGTAACCCCAAAGAAAGAATACTGTACTGGAATTGCACTTTCAACGGTTACAGATTGCAGAATTCCAGAATTAAAAACACATGTATTTTTATAGGGATTTTCAACATTAGGCATTTTTTCTTAGCCTATGATATACTTATTTAATTAAATTAATTTCAGCAGTGAAAGACTATTATTTTATCATAATGAAATATTTTACAGGGGAGACAATTCTTATTAGTCGTAATGATTTTGGTTTTATGGATGATGATGATTCTGATGACCATTTGAGAATAACATTAATAGCTAATCCAGTACATGGACAGCTGATTTATAAAGAATTGAATGTTGTGATGGGAGGAAACATCATAACTCAAGAAGACATAAATAACAACTTTATTAGGTTTGTATTTGTTTATAAATGTTTTTATGGTTGGCTGTTGACATTTTGATTTCGATCAGAAAGATAAAGCCTCTCCCTTATATGATATGTTAAACTATAAATATTGCATCTCCCATTTAAATAAGATGATAAATGGAAAATATGTATCTTTTTTTAAGGCAAATAATGAAAGTCTTTGCTAAATGATTTTGCTATATGTTTTATATTAGTTCTAGATTACTCCTGAACAACTATCTTAAAAACACATGTAGCATCTATTGCTAAATATCTAAAAGTTCCATTTACGTGGATGGCTTGAAGATCTTCAGTACCATAAAGATAGAGTATAGCAATAAAAGCACTATTCCTTGGATATATAGTAATTTTCCAGTATTTCTTTTCGAATCTGAAAGACAGCTTTAGCATAATATTTGTATTGTTTACAGATACATGGCTGACAAAGAGATAGGAAGTGAACCAGTCTCAGATATTCTCACATTTAATGTTACGGATAGCAGTAGTAACATCTTACCCAATCAGGTTCTATCTGTAACCATAGAACCAGTAGACAACAGGGCACCAGCAGTTATTGTTGGTCCTACAATTCAGGTATGTTTAACATATTTAATACTCAATAAGGTTCTATCTGTAACCATAGAACCAGTAGACAACAGAGCATCAGTAGTTACTGTTGGTTCTATAATTCAGGTATGTCTAGCATCTTACTCAGATTCTGTCTATGACCACAAAACTAATAGATCTTTAGTAGCCTCAGGGTCTATAATTCAGGTACTTACATTATCAGATTCCATCCTTTACCATAGACAGGGCATCAGTTGTAACTATCATACCCGACATTCTAATGCTGCAATCTTTATGTAACAGTTTTTTCATTTGCCAAAATTTACCATCAAATCCATAACTGATATTACTTGGACCGCAATATTGAATTGTTGGAATTAACGAAGGTTCAATTAATATAGTATAATTGAAAATAAAACAAACAAAAGCCCCTCAAAAATAATGTTTCATTGATATATTATACAAATCTGAGTAGTACAAGTAATAAAATAACCTTTGGTTTGAGAATGTTTTCATTTGTATGACGTCATGTTTTGCCATGATGTTCATGCACTAAACTCATTTATAAAGTTTGATGAAATTTTATTTTATCTTGAATTTATACATTTTTACAAGCTCTAATGTACTTTTTCATCTGTGATGCATTAGAATTGGAATAACAGTACTGTAGTTGAAGAGTTGCCACAATCAATTGGGATTTGACGATTGCAAATATCTGTTTTAACTATCCCTGCTACACGTCGCCAGTAAAACTGTATTTTGCAATTTGGACAGAGGCAGCTCTTCAACTACAGTACGACAGCCTCAGTGGTCTCGGGGAAGAGTGTTCTCCTCAAGTGAGGGAGGTTGTGGGTTCGAACCCTGGCCGGGTCAAACCAAAGACTTTAAAATTGGTATTTGCTGCTTCTCCGCTAAGCACACAGCATTAAGGAGTAAGAGCAAAGACTGGTCTGCTCGGAGTCGGAATAATGTGTCCGGGTAAGGTGACATGTCTTCCTGCGAAATGTTACCTTGTGTACTAGCACGTTAAAATCCGGCTCAGAATGTCGGTCTAGTACAAAGCAGGGTTAATATTCATATTACATTAACATCGGTCCTGAATATGCATATTAATTTGACGCTGGACGTTAAGCAGCTATCCATCATCATCAACTACAGTACTGTTATCCTTTAATTATACATCATCAAATTCTGTATGTTATTATAAATCCAAGTCGACAATAGAGTACTAGCAGTACTAGTTGATCTAACATTTCAGACATAACATTTATCAAATCAGATCTCATCTGACTGAAGAACCATAGACAATAGGCCACCTGTGAGATATAGAAGTAGGATCTTCAATATTTTTGGTGATTTTAAATTTCATGTTCAATTATTATATTATATTTTCATATCCATAAAGTAAAACAATATGCTCTGAATTGACAGTAAATTTATTTTTTATTTGCAATAAAATCTAATGTTGATTTCAGATTGATGAGGGTAGTGAAATACTGTTTACAACAGACAATATTAAGGTGACAGACCAAGACACAGCCGTGTCAGATTTACTGGTCCAGATAGAATCACTTCCAAAGTTTGGAAATATTCTCTCATACAAACCAGGTAGAACACATGAATTTTTTCTATTTTAAACCTTGTATAAAAATACCTTAATTCTGTCATTTTTGGTTATAACATCTGATATTTTTTAAAGTAGCTCTTACAAAATAGAAATCATAATTGACTTCATGCAAAACAATTGGTAGTATACATACATTTATTACATGCAGGCAACTACCAATAAATCTTCTCTGTCACTTCATTACTAACATTTGAGACTTGGTCAAAGTGTTCCAAGTGTAAGTAACATTTATTACAAATTCAACAGATAAGCTAGATATTTCATGAATTACAATAGGGAGAGGTTCAAGCTTATAATCAAGTCAGTGCATACAAAATTATGGAAGATTTTAATCAGTGTAAATAGAAAGCATATGCAATGCTTAGTTTCAAAATACCATGGAATAAAGTGTAAACTAAAAATAATAGAAAATTCCTTTTGGTCCATTTGCCTGAATTGAATATTTTAAAACATACAACAACCTTTTAGGACAAAAGATTGGAACATTTAAATGTAAATAACCTTACTTGCAAACACATCTCAGTAGAAGGAAACAAGAATATGCATTCACACTCCCAACCTTCAAGCTTTATGATTTTTTGCTTATAGATGTAGGCGGATCAGAGAAGACTGTCGGAGAACCTGTCACCCAATTCTTTGTTCAGGATCTACTGGATGGTTTTATTCACTACAGTCAGTCAGATCACAAGAACAAGGAACCAGTAATTGACAATTTCTTATTCCATGTTACTGATGGTGTAAACAAATCACCCATGCAAAGATTTGGAGTCAGTATTGTGGTAGGTTTCACTGTTTTGAGAATCTCATATTTGGTTGATTAAGGCAAATTGCAAGAATATCAAATCATTATTTAAATAAACTGTATGTTTTAGGTTAGAAATTGAAATGCTTTCCATAAAAGGAAATTCAAAAACTAATTGCAGAATAAAAAAGTGAATTATTTGCATTTCATATGTAAATATCAAAAGATGATATTCAAAAGCTAACTATGAGTCAGTCAGTTAAACAGTTTTGTAAAATTGCTGATAATTCTATTTTTTCACGTACATTCAAAACATTTCTCCTCTATGTATATTTTTTTATATGAAAAATAAAACTTCTTACAAAAAGTTAAAAAAAACCATGAAGCTTGTCAGATTTATTTTTAAATTTTAGATTGAAAAATGGAAATTTTTAATATGCAAAAGACTTGAACAAAAAATTTGGTAGAGTATTAAAATTTGATGGAATATGTCAATTAGAATTTCAATTTTTGATTTAAGTGAAAACCACAAAATTTGATTGTTCAATTAAAGAATAATATTTATTTGTTAGGGTTAAATTCTGTAGCCATATGTTCATAAATCTATGGACCAACACTTTATTAACAACCCATAATAGTGAATGGAGGGTGCTGTATTTTTGTAAAATTTTCCATCACTCTGTAAGTACACCACATATTATTGATGTTTTTACAGTTAATAAACGATGAGGAACCATTACTGGTGACAGAACAGTTATTTGTACAGGAACACCAGGCTGCTGTTGTCACTAATTCATCGTTGTACGTGATAGATATAGATACTCACCCTGATCAGTTGTTATTGACAGTGAAAGTATCTCCTCAACATGGTAAGTATAGACTCTAACAAGGAAAGTCAAAAGTAGAAAAATCTCTAGGATAGTTCAAGAACAAGACATTTTGAAAAAGAAACTGCTTCTCTAGATGTGCTGTAGTGTGCTTCCCTAGATTGCAGAATATCCTAGATTCAATAACTACATGGGTTAAACCAAAGATTTCAAAATCGGTACTATGACGGGTAACTATTCCTGCACCAAGAATGCTGCATAATAATTTTCAGTTCATAGTAATAAGCACCAATACATTAAAACTGCATGGTGAAATTAATTAGGTTACCTGTATTTTATATGTATTTTGTTCTTTGTTTCATGTTTATATGAAATCACCTGAATTAAAAAAAAAACCAAACTTATATTTATAAATTTGTAGAATCTGCATCTACATGTTGATATCTATAGACATGCTCTGTATATGCTTATCTATTCTATAGGTACCTTGGGTAGAAGGGATCATATCAGTGAACCACTAAGTAGAATCAGACCAATACAACAAGCTGGAACATTCACATATCAGGTACTTTGATATGTTCCTTTGTTTTTAGATCTGTTACTGTTGTAATAAAAATCTTACAAGAAAAAAAAACCAAACTCACTAGTACTTCTGCATAATTTAGGCTCAATTTTGATCTTAGGATTTTCAGTGGAAAAAGCCACAGTTATACTTACCAGAATCATTCAGGCCCTCCAAGAAATCCATATCTCCCACTGTTAAGGGCCTGAACTCTTTATACAATGAAAATGTGTCACAAATTTTGGATTTTGATTGCCAAGGTCTGGGTGAGACAGGTAAACGTACTAACAAATATTTACAGCATCTTCTACTTGGCGAAGTTGAAATCGTCCCTTCGTAAATTTTACGGACGCCATCACAAGTTGGTTGACAATTATGGAATTTCCATTTCACTGATGACAACGGATATTTTCGAATTGTCATAACTACAATCCCGTCCCCTTTTCCCCAAAAGTGACCTACCGAATTAGACTTATCACAGGGTTTGTACTAGCATTAGTAACACAATGGGTGCCACATGTGGAGCAGGATCTGCTTACCCTTCCGGAGCACCTGAGATCAACCCCAGTTTTTGGTGGGGTTTGTGTTGCTCAGTCTTTGGTTTTCTCTGTTGTGTTTTGTGTACTGTTGTTCGTCTGTTTGTCTTTTTTTTTTTTAGCCATGGCATTTTCAATATATATTTCGACTTATGAGTTTGAATGTCTCGTTGGTATCCTTCGCCTCTCTTTTTTTCACAGTAGTTTATTTCAACAATTTTTTTGGGGAGCCAAAATGTTGCTTATGTAATGAAGCAAGCAAGCATGTCTGCTGACTATCCATCAACCAATTTTGAAAATAACCACATATCAGGGATATTATTTTTTTGATTGATTGATTGATTGATGTTTGCTTAATGTCCTATGAAATTTTTTTATAAATTTTCAGTCTATCAAAATATTTACCCCAATTTTTTTTTAAGTTGTTGCCTGTTATGTCCAAGTTTCAAAAGTAAAGAATGTAGAAAAAGAAGTTGAATGTCTACATATTTCAAATTTTTGCTTGCCTACTTTTAGGAAATTTTAGATGATTTGATAGTATACCAACACAATGGTAAAGCTACATATGGAGATAGGTTAACTATCCAAGTGTCTGATGGAGATTTTACTGATACAAGTGCCTTAGAAATAGTTATTGGTCTAGTAGATGATGAAACACCAAGACTTTCAATTAACAGAGGATTAATGTTAAAAGCAGGTAATTTTACAGTAGCTGTAAGTCAAACAGCGATGAGACATTAACCCAACAACATGATTTAAACATCAGTAGTCTAGAGGTCATAAGCAAAACTGATACATTCTGAGGGTGGTCCCAAACCTTTTTCAGCCCTAAAAGAAATATCTTGCCATTTGTTTTTTTGATATGCAAATTATGCCCCAATTTAAACATTTGTCAATAGCTTTGAAACACTACATTTTAGTTAAAGGGGCACTAGCTGTCAAATTCATGTTCACCAATTTGACTCAAATTCTCATATTAGATTTATAACATACTAAAATGTATATCCAAATTATAAAAAGTCTAAAATAAACAATTTACGATGCATGTACTCGATTATATGTATCAGCATTCTGTGTGTATATTAGTCTAGATACCATCTAATTAACCATCGAGGCAACCTCCGAAGACTGTGGACGGTCATATAACCCGATATAAACATGAATATCGATATATATAGATAACGAACACATGCAATTGGATTTTTCTAGGTCTGTTCGATTTCATATAGGTGAAAAAAATATGTTAATCATCATTTTTACTTGTATCAGAATGAGTTTTTGTGGATCGAATCAGTCAACCAAATGGTTTACTCTTGTTTCACTTTCAGTGTTAACATTCTTTTCCTTTTAATAGCTGAACACGCCTAGTTTAGGCGTAACCCATCTCTACCTAAGGGGTTAAATTGATGGTCATATGAATATAGATTGAATGAGGTTGAATTATTCACTTGCAAATGAATAATTCATCATCAATGTTTCTTAGCTTATTTTGACAAAATTAAACAAAACTGGCTGCTTAAAGCGAATTATTATTTCACTATTTGACTTTCATTAATTATTGAACAAAAAAAAATAACATTTTTTTTTATATCTCGTAGCTAATGCCCCTTTAATAGATCAGTTATCTACATTTTCACCATAGTTATTAAAATGTACCAAACTGAAGTTGGTCTGTAATCCCTGAGTGACAATGCTCCTCAGAAAGTGCTATCAAATAAGATTCTGTTCTGAGTGTAGGGTTATCTCCTCATTGTAAGATTATTCACATCGAAAATTGTCAGCTATCATATTTTACCTGGCTAATATCTAATGTGATACTTACTTATTTTCATTGATTGAGGAAAACTTGCATTTTCTTGGATATTTAATATCACGGTTTTGCCAATGTCTGTATACAACTTAATAGAAAATGTGTCATTTGTTGAACATTTAAATTCGTGAATCTCCTGTACCCACCAAATCGGTACCATAGGGTTAATAATGAATCCACAGTAATACGTAGAAGTTTGACATGTTTATTTGGTGTTTTTTAGGATCAACAATTCCAATAAAGTCTCAGGACCTGAAAGCTACAGACATTGATTCCGATGACAAAAAACTGACATACACTTTGACCCGAGACCCAACTGGTGGACGTTTGTTAATTTCAAATCAAAACAGAAAAGTGCCTGTTTCTACAAGAGGCCCAATAAAGAGTTTTACTCAGTTAGATGTTGATCAAGGTCATCTGGAGTTTGAACATCCTAAAGGGGAGATAACTGGTGTTTTGACATTTAAATTTGATGTATCAGATCCAGAAGGAAACAAGTTGATAGATCACATTTTCTACATAACTGTAACAGGTAAATTTGTGGAAAGAAATGGTTATTGGTAAATGATGAATTTCTAATCTTTTGCTAAAATTCTTATATGGAAGGTGTTACCTGTAACAGAAAACAAGTCTGTAATAGCTTTTTATCTAAGTACTGAAAAAATTGGTAAGGAAATGTACAAATTTTATCTCTTTTATTTTATTGACATCATACTTTTTGGCGATCAGATATACAACTTTTTAGGATATCATATTCTCCTTATGATGTTTTACAAAAAATCATGAAAGGCATGAATATAAATTTGCATGCAGATTTATGCATATTTTTAGAAGTTCTAACAGAAATTTTTCTTAGATATATTTTCGATTACCATTATCCTTTTAATTTAAAAACATCTACAGCAATAAGGTCTTCAGCCTCTATTTATTATGATTTTTGTTAAAATGCAGCTTATTTCTTTTAACTGAATTGTATCAAAACAACACTTGATTTGAAAAAAAAAATAAAACATATGAATCTGCTGTTCAGTGCAGAGCTGTACAATTTAACATTTCAAATTATCAACATTTCTACATTATAGCATAAGAACCAATTCAAGTGAAATAATGTTAATTTTTTGTAAATTATAGAAGACAGAATACCTCCAAAGGTAATAGCCAACAAAGAACTGGTTGTCCTGGAAGGAGCAGAGATCAAGATAACTACAGAATTCCTGTCTTTTACTGATGAAGACTCTGAGCCTGGATTGTTACATTACTACCTCCTTTCTGCTCCTAATCTTGGTCACCTAGAACTTACCAGTAATCCAGGTAGGCTGTTATAAAATAGCCAAGGAGGACTATTGCATTTAAAAGTAGTTTTAACAGGCACAATTTGCTGCAGTAGACCATTGAACGATTGACTGTTTAATTCCATATAGATTATTGTAAACTTTACTTTAGAATCCACTGAACTATAAATCAACTTGTTTTCATTGTTAATATCTTTAGCATTTAGCACTCTCTGGCCAACGTTGCAGCTATTAATTTTTCATGATTTTCATATTTTGTATTGAAATATACTTTTAAAGTATTTGAAATATTTTAAATGACGCAATAGATTTTGACTGATTATGTCATTCTTTTTTTTTAGTAATATTGGCTTCTGACTTTTTGCTCTTGTCCATAGGGGATATATCATTAATTGCTATGAAATACATGAAATATGCATTTTAATGTATATTACATACATACTGAACATAAAATTACATTAATTTGTTTTGTAGGAATACCAATATCTGAATTCACGCAGTCAGACCTAGCAGCCAACAGTGTATGTTATATACACACCAGTAAAGAGGAAATATACATGGATAGTTTTACATTCTCTGTCACTGATGGAAATAATCAGGTAAAAAGGATAGTTAATTTAGAGAAGAAGTAAGAAAAAAAACATTTATTGATGAGAAAGATATGTTTTTAATGCAAGATAGATTATTAACAATACACTAAAGCTAACACGGATATCAGACTTCCTAAAATATGCCAGATCGTCAGCCAAATCAGACAATTATGCTGTAGCCAGGAAAACATTGGCCTTTCACCAGTCCTAATGTGCAGAAAGCAAAAGTGTTTGAATTTATATTTTGGAGCCAAAATAAAATAAAAACAGTTAAAATATCGTTTCATTACCACCAATTTTTTTATTATCTTGAATATTGAAGTCACTAATTTTTTCAATCAACAATCTTATTTTGTGTTACTTTCAGGAAAACGAGTTATATTGTGGATTTTTTCAATAACAGATTTTGTTTCTCCTAAAGGTTTGGTCCGACTGATTTTTGGACAGTCAGATGAATCATCACAGTTTGTCTGACAAAATGTCCAACAATCCTTGATGTCATTCTACTAATGTTATGGTTGTTTGAAATTTGTTTCCACAGATCACTCAGAAGTTGTATATAACCATTACTCCTGTGGATGATGAAATACCTATTGTGACTAATAATGGCCTGAGGGTCCAGGAGGGGGTCAGGAAAACAATCACAGAATATGATCTGAAGGCTGAGGATCAAGATACTCCTGTAAGTATTTATCTGTTTACTTTAGTCTAGAAAAAGAGTTTACAATTATGTCAGAATACTGTGCACAGGGTTTATTTATTTTCGTGGGTACCAATTTTCGTGGATTGAAGAAAAATAATATCTTCGATGATACTTGATTTCTTGGTTTGTTCAAGGTTTGCATACAATCCTATGAGAAATATGAATTGGTTAAACATTTAAATTCGTGGTTCATCTTAAACCATGAAGTCCATGAAAATTGGTACCCAACAAATTATAATGAATCCACAGTAACTAATTCTTGAAGAAGATTCCTTTCCTTAAATTATTTTGAATTTTAGTATATTTTACTTCTCTTCATTATCATTTGGAGGGTATGACATTGTGTAGTCATTTCCAAATGCATCATATGGTTTGTAATGAAATGGACCATTGTAGAAGTGGTGCTGAATGATGTCATAATTTGAGTGTGGCTGATTTATCTAGATGTCATTTACAGGGAAGCTGAAACTGTTAGGACAGAACTAGAATTTTCTTTATTGGTCCATTGTCACAGTCATTTACTTAGAACATTATCATGTAATTGTTATTTGTTAGATGTTAGTTATGTTGTGTGAAAAGTCATTTTGCTTTTCCATGCACTCCTTGAAATTAAAAAAAGAAATAGGAAATAATTTCTTATTGGATAAATAACTGGTATCTCAATGATATATCTGTGCAATTTAAGCAACAAATAAAATGGAACTTACTGTACTGACTTTATGGTAGGATGTTTTTTTATTTTTTTGTAGGAAAGTTCTTTGATATTTCATGTCATAAATCTCCCAGTACATGGTAGACTGGATTTAAAACAAGGAGACTTTTACATGCCTGTGACTACCTTCTCCATGGCTGATATCTATAATGGACTAATCAGTTATCATCATGATGGGAGTGAGACACTTCGGGATAACTTTTCCTTTACTGTGACAGATGGAGCTACTGAGGTGTTTGCTATGCAGAAAGATCAAAGTCGTGGTGACATTAGCGTTAAAAGAGATCCTGAGGTATAGTATATGTATATGCTACAACTTCCAGTTTATATGGCCAGAAAAAAATTGTTATTGGTGAAGAACATTCTTATGTAATAATAAAAGTGAAGTTTATAAAATTCAACTTGCCCTTTTCGATAAGATTTTGACAGTGAAGTGTACTTACTTTTTTTTGGCAGAAATTTTATCAGTCAGCTCTTTGAATACTCAAAAGAGGGATAAGTTTTTGTTAGGGGGATTGTTAGTTCAGCTTTACAAGTACCAACTTTTTACTTTTTTCAACTGGACAAAATGAGTTGAGCATTATCATTTTATGAATGAAATAGACTCTAAACAATTGTGATACATGAGTTGTATCATCCATCATGTCATTAATAGAATTGCAATCATTCTCAATTGGGTTCATTAACATGTAGAATCATTCCCAGGTCATAAAACATTTCAGTACGATTATTGTAATCAAGACTCAGAAATCAATCAATCAAAATACTAGATTTGACATTTTGAGCACAGATTTTGTACTCTGAGTACTGAGTATAGTTTTAGACCAAGACCAGAGATCTTTTTAGAACATTTAGATTGGAGTATTTTATTCAATGAAATACTTTATTTTCCATCTATGCATAGAGGATTTTTGATTACTCTTAAACGTATTGGGATTAATATATTGTAAAGCTTTTACAAGGAATTAAGGATTTTGTAATTTTTAGTCTTTGGGTCTCAGGATGAGAATCCTTCCTCAAGAAAGGATGAGAATCCTTCCTCAAGAAAGGATGAGAATCCTTCCTCAAGAAAAGATTTAAATAGAAATTAAAAACCAATTGTTCAGAGAACAATTGAAGGTCTTTTCCACTTCTAACGATTTATTTTGATATGAAAATATTAAAATTCCATTTAAAATGTCATTTCATTGTGTCAAATAATAGCTAATTGTTTGCTGTTTCCCAAAATATATGGTTTCTATACAATTTTATTTGAAATAAGGGAGGTAATTTGTTACTTCTGGTATTATTTGAAAGTTTATTTGACATTGCTTTCAAAAATATATTGTTCTATATACTTTAACATGAAATAAATACAAAAAATAGCCACTTCCGGTTTACACAAAGTCACTTCCGGTTTGCTTTTTCAAAGTCATATGGCTTGTAACCTAATGCATATAGTCCTATGGCTTTATGATGTATAAATATGAATTTAAAGCAAAGGTCAAAATCTAGAACGTCAAGTTTACCTATGACATTGACCCCAATATCAAGGTCATAAACCAAGGACACTAAATCAAAAGACCCTAGGTCTTTAAATGTGTGGTTAATGAGTTATATCACTATACACATAGTTCTAAATATAAGAGGGGCGAAAACTCCCATTTAATGTATACGTACCGTTTGAACTAAAATTCAAGAATTACGACATGTGGTAAATGACAATTTAATAAAAATATGTTGTCGATATTTTGTACGGTTTATGAAAAGAAGTGAGAATATGTCAAGATAAAAAAAATTAGAATTTGACCTTGACCTTTGACCTAATTTTCTTGTTTTTGGACCAAGGACCTCAAATCCGAAGACATTAGGTCTCTATCACTTATGGTTTACCAGTTACAAATGCAAATCACTTATATCAAATGCATAAGGGGAAATAACTCTCATATGGAGTCTCCGGAAGGCTTCGGTGTAAATCAAACTTAACATCCTGAAGATATAGCGAGCAATTTGGTAAAATAAGTTTGTCGTAATCTTTTACGGTTGTGAAGGAGTATTGTGCACAAGGAAAACAGTGTTCAGGGAGATAACTCTCGGTGTCAGTTTTAAAAGCGTATTAACGGTTCGACATCATAAACCAAAAATCTAAGTGACATATTTGAAAGCAACAATACAGCGGAAGAAAAAAAAAAAAATAAAAAAATAATCAGAATAAAAGCAAAAGGTCTTTCCACGGAAAAGTGGAAAGACCTAAATAAGATTTTGAAAATAACTAATAAAGACATATTTTTATGGTCTGAACTGATCCGTATCAAAACTGTCAAAACTATCAGCATACTATTTTATACATCTGTTTTATGAGCTTTTAGTATAGAAATAAAGAGATGAGGTATGATTGCCAGTGACACAACTATCCACCACAGTTCAAATAAAGTGGATGTTACCATTATAGTCCACCGTACAGCTTTCAGCAATGAGAAAAACCCATACCGTATAGTTGGCTTTAAAAGGCACAACATGAAAAATGTGAAACAATTCAAGAAAACTAACTGCCTAAATTATAAAAAAACAATTTTTGAAAAAAACAAATATGACAGACATGAACCAAGACTATTTCATTAAAGTGACAATTACATATTATGTTTGTAGGATTTTGAAATTGATATCATGCCCTTAGATGATGGAAGTCCTGTTCTAAAAACTAATTTAGGATTACAGTTCTTGGAACAATCAGGAAATTTGGTGAGTTGATTTAAACTTAACTAAAGAAAATTTTGAAAGAGTTTGAAATGGGCCAATGCAAACATTTAGCTTCCATCCCTATTAATTATGTGGCACAGCCTCAGTGTACTTGTAAATGCCATTCAGGGATAGATTTGATTATCAGAAAAACACCCCAAAATGAGGAACTATTTTGGGAAGATTGATTTGGGACAATTGGTATGTGTACAAACTCACTAAAGTTCTTGAATAATTGTGATTAATGATCACTATATCAGATTGACTATTCAAAATTTATGACTTCATATTAAATGTAAATTCTTTTTATAAACTTAACCAAACTTTTTGTTTCTTGAATAAGGTCTAAGATGATGTTTGGTATATGTATCTGTTGAACATCTATCTTTATAAATAGCTTCAACAGGTCACTTGTGCCACATGTGGAGTGGGATCTACTTAACCTTCTGGAGCACCTGAGATCACCCCCGGTTTTTAATGGGGTTCGTGTTGCTCAGTCTTTAGTTTTCTATGTTTTGTTTTGTGTATTGGTGATTGTCTTTTAGTTGTTTTTCATTTTTTGCCATGGCATTGTCAGTTTGTTTTGGACTTTTAAACAAGTTTGAATGTCCCTTCGGTATCTTATGCCTCTTCTGTAGGGCTTGCTCCTAGAACTATATTTTTCCTTGATAAATACTTCCATGTTTAAAATAAAGGTTTCATGTGCAGCTGGAATTTGGATTACTTTTCAGGCAAAATTAGTTCCTGAAGATATGACAACAACTTTTTGAAAGTATCGGCCCATACGATTTAGGACTGCAGAACCATAGTCTTACCCCACTTCTATAGCCATTCACCAAACATTTGTTTATTTCTTCTGTTGTCTCTAAAAATCTGTAAAAATTTCCTATATGTATATATCTTTGTAGTTTTATAAAATCTTTTTTTTCATACTTCACAGGCCTATAATTTGATAACACCAAGAGAACTGGAGGCCACTGATGTTGATACTTCACCAAATGAGCTGACTTTTGTGATAACCAGGGGACCAGAACATGGAAGACTAGAAAATACTGCTAATCCTACAGTGGCTATATATTCTTTCACACAAGGTTAATTAATTATTTCTGCATAAAAATTTAAGTTTGCACAAACCAAATAATGTGACAGAAAAGTGTATAACATTATATTTAACAGACAAGTGATTACAGTTTTGATAAATTTACATTTATTAGATTACACATTATCAGTCTCCAAAAAGGAGGGTGAGTTTTTTTCATTAATTTGTAAACAATCATAGGCACACAGTTTCCAGTTTTCATACATCAGAAAAATAACTTTATGAACGACTGAAAAAGATAATGTGAAAAGAAAGAAAAATCAGTAACAAAATCAATATGAAAAGAAAGAAAAAATCAATAACAAAGTGAAAAAAAAGAAAATCAATACATGTAACAAAATCATTGTGAAAAAAAAGTGCTTAGTCACCATGGTTTCACAACAATATGGATAGAGAAGGTTGAAGAGTTAAAAACTACAATGTGAAATATTAGACAAAATTTCAATAAAAGTTTAGCTTTCTAAATCTTGTGATTAAACCCTAATAGTATTATACAAACGAGAGAAAAAAACTGGACTTTTTATTGACTTTTATCATAATTTTCAGATGACATTGACCATGAAGTAATTAGTTATGTACTGACCAGCATGGATGATATGACTGAAGATATGTTTACTTTTGACCTCGTTGATAGTAAGCCCAACCGAATTACAAATAACATATTCCACATCATGTGGTCTGTCATCGAGTTTATCTCCCCTGAATACAATGTATCAGAGTCGACAGGAGTCATCAGGATACCAGTTGTTAAAAAAGGGAATTTAAAGCAGGTAATATATTATTGTGTTGCTGTCTCATTGACATACATAAAGGACCCACATTTTTATACATATTTACTAATAAAAAACATTTTTATGCAATATAATCAAATTTAGGTCAATGCTCTTCATCTTCGTACTTAATTTGGCATATTAACTTTTTGGATTCGAGCTTCAGTGATGAGTCTTTTGAAGACAAAACACATGTTGGGCTTACAAAAATTTAATTTTGGTATCTAGGACGAGTTTATTTGTAAAGAATTGCCCAGGTTATCACTGGTCTTACTGCCAGATAGGACTGATTTGATTAAAATCAAGTGGCAAATTTTTCATGCATATTCAAGATGAAGAAGAATCTGTTGCCATATTTCTCTACCCTAGTCACCATTTGTGTCCTTTCTCTAAGCAGACTCTTTAAAACAATCAAGATAAAGTCTACTTATGGTAGAATTATTTTTTCTCTTAACAATTTTCTGTTATCAACAATTTCTATATATATATGTATTGACTCATGCACATTCTTTTTGTATAAATTCTTCTACAATTGAGTTTAAACCCTGACTTTAACCATACTTTTGTTTCCAGTATAGTGTAGTTACATGTAAAACCAGCCCAGACACTGCCACCTATACCCAAGCAGTGACTAGACCCGGCGACCAGGATTATAGAGAACATTCAGGACAGGTCCAGTTTGATGCTTGGCAGGATATGAAAGTGTGTAGTATTATCATTAATGATGACTCTAAATTTGAAGGTCCAGAAAGGTTCTCTGTAGAACTGATACATCCAGTTTATAGTCTGATTGGAATGAAAAATAAGGTCGCTGTGATCATATCTGATGAAGAGGACAGTAAGTTATTATATGAAGTGCTTTTCTTTTTAAATATGTATGCTACATGGTTAGGCTCTCTTAAATCTTGGGGGAATATTGTCCTTTTCCATTGCAGTAGGGGAAAAAAGCATAGAAAAAGAAAATGCATTTGCCTAGAGTTGGGGCCAATAATCTTTAATTTGTTTAAAATTGACAGACTAATCTTGGTTTAAATTCAGCTTCAAATTGTTTACCTTTTCAAAATCCCAGAAGTGATTTTTTAAAAATTTTGTTGGTATAAAAATGGAATTTTGATATATTGAATTTAACGTTGGACAGACTCATGTCTTTGGATTATATGGCCTTATCATATTTTCTTTTATACCCACTCTAAACACATACACACACACAATAGATATAGGAAGATGTGGTATGAGTGCCAATGAGACAACTCTCCATCCAAGTTACAATTTATAAAAGTAAACCATTATAGGTCAAGGTACGGCCTTCAACACAGAGCATTGGCTCACACGCACAGAAAAAACATTCCGGCAAGTACAATAAAATTATTGTCTTATTTACATGTCTTTGCTTATCATTACAGTGCCTACCATTCAATTCAAAGACCTTGTATATAGTGTGAATGAGACAAGTGGAGTTGTGTCAGCTGCATTAGTTAGAACAGGTATTATATAAAAATAGTGTCAATAAACCCATTCATTGTGATAATCACTTGAGCCAGTTGTGTAGTTCAATAACATTTTTCTAGGAAAAATGAGAAAATATTGCAAGAGATATTTATTAATTTTAATAACAATTAGACAGCCAGTGCAACCAGAAACGAATCTCAACTACAGTGCTTTAAGCTCTAAATGCTCTCAAAAATACTCAAAGGATAACATTATCTATATCAATTCTTATTAGATTCATGCTTCTTATAACCATTAAGGCTCATAATTCAGTTATCACCACAAATTTTATTTCAATTTTGTGGTTTTGTCATTGTACCAGCATTCAAAAAGGCTACGGTACTATTCCTGATGACATGTCTCTTCTGTTCTCTAGTTTTGCTATTTGTGATGACATGAAAAAGGCTTGCTTATTTGTGTCTTTTAGTTCCTGTCACATTAACAAATACTGAACATGTCCTGTAGTTCCTGTCACATTAACAAATACTGAACATGTCCTGTAGTTCCTGTCACATTAACAAATACTGAACATGTCCTTTAGTTCCTGTCATATTGACATACAGGTATACTAAACATGTCCTTTTGTTCCTGTCACATTGACATATACTGAACATGTCCTTTTGTTCCTGTCATATTGACATATACTGAACATATCCTTTAGTTTCTTTTCACATCGACATAAACTGAACATGTCATTTAGTTCCTTTTCCCATTGACATAAACTGAACATGTCCTTTAGTTCCTGTCATATTGACATACAGGTATACTAAACGTGTCCTTTTGTTCCTGTCACATTGACATATACTGAACATGTCCTTTTGTTCCTGTCATATTGACATATACTGAACATATCCTTTAGTTTCTTTTCACATTGACATATACTGAACATGTCCTTTAGTTCCTTTTCACATTGACATATACTGAACATGTCCTTTAGTTACTTTTTACATTGACGTATACTGATCATGTCTTTTTATTTATGTATTAATTACTGTAAATTCAGAAATTAGTGCGGGCTTTTACTATTGCAAGTAATGTGACTCCTGGTTAAGGATCGCAATAAATATAACTTGCATTATATTATCTGATACAAATATCTGTATGCAGATTTTTCTGAAACAACATTAGTTCATCTCACATTTTTGTTCATTCTTCAAAAATCTAATGAATAATAACAGGCAATAATTTCTGAATTTACAGTATACAACATGTAGAATTTTCAACAGTTATTCGTCGAATTGATTACAGGTGACTTAAGTTCCAGTGTTTCTGTTGTGTGTTACACTACTAGTCTAACAGCCAAAGGAAGCAGTCTGGATTCTCTTGAATCAGGCTCAGACTACATCAGTAGAGGAAAGACAAATGTATACAGAGTGACATTTCAACCTGGGATGACCATGGCTAACTGTGATGTCAAGGTAAGTGTCCAGTTTGGACTCTCATGAATCAGGCTCAGACTACATAATTAACATAAGCAATAAGTTGAGGGCATGTGTCAAAATTATTTGTGCTATTATGAGTTTTGTCTAAACACTGAAAACATGTCATATTAGAACAGACATTAAAAGAGGATCATTAGATATGAAAAGAGAATAATACAGAAGCACAAACAGTAAAGCACTGAAAAAAGATAGAATATCACTGTAAATGGAAATTTCATCCTTTATGCATGTCCATTGCTTTATTTTCCAGTTGCTTGAAACAGTGTTAATAATAGCACTTTGGAACAGGAAGAGAAGAAATAAAATGTCCTTCTTTCCAACATTGATTAAAGGAGAAGAAAATGTGGATATCATTCCTTTTTATTATTGCTTTCAGATAATAGACGACAGTGAATTTGAAGGTTCAGAGCAGTTTGAGTTAGTGTTATCAGCCCCTACATACAACACAGTTGTTGGTTCATCTGACAAGGCTACAGTCATTATAAGGGGACCAAATGATGGTAAATATTTTGTTTGAACTATTTTAAATTTCCTCCTACAAACATTAATACACTGGGTTTTGCAAATGAAAAAATTCAATAAACTTGTGTGGTTTTAAGTAATAGGAAATGGCTTACAAATTTGCATATCAAGTGTAAATAGTTCTATTTAAGTGCAAGTCTCACAGAAAACCATGCAAAATGGTCTGAAAGTATTTTTTTCAAAAACAATTGAAATCCTTACCAGACAGTACATATTAAAACACAAAATATTTTTCTAAAATGTCGTCTAATAATAAGGAACTTATAAGTGAAACTTTATATGTCATTTTACATATGCAAATAGCCAAAAAAAATCACAATTTTCATCATTTTTGACTGTAGATATTTCTTTACCAGTACTGTAGATATTTTTTTACCAGTAATGTAGATAATTCTTTACCAGTAGGAATGATACATTTTTCTATTGATATTTGCAGAAGAACTACATTTAATGATTCACACCATAAATATTTTTTTTTTCTTATCTTAAACAACATTCTGACAAAATAAATTTAAAACATCTATATTAAAAATTCTGAAGTTTTCTACCTGTAGAACAGATTTTGGTAGCTAATGACAAAAATGTCTATTCCTAAGTAACCTGGTTGACTTGTGCTTTAAAAAATATGCTTAACTGTATTTTGAAACAGTTATTGATTTCTTCATAAGTTCATGACACAGTTAATATCTTGACACTTTTAACACTTAGAGAAATGATAGATATTTATACATGAACAAAGTTTTAGAACTGGAGTTTTTTTCCAGTTTGCAATGTGCTGCTACTTTAGCTATAAAACAAAAGATTTTGACAATAAAGATGAGACAATGATAATTTTGTGCTCACTGGTTTTTTTTCAGAATCCAGTATCCACTTGTCATTGTCTCAGTACCATTTTGATGAGAACTCAGGGGATGTGGAAGTGGAAGTTGTACGTCGTGGATCAGATCTGTCACATGATTCCATGGTCTGGTGTGCTACAAGAATGACAGAACCACCATCCGCCACACCTAGACAAGATTATATCCCTAGCTCAAGTCAGATTACATTTGCACCAGGGGAGACAATTCAGGTAATGACTTCAAATGGGATTTCAATTGGTATTTCTAATCTTTGTCGAGGAATTTGATCAGAGGAATAATGGTCACAAGGACAGTAAAGGGGAAAAAAGCTTCTTTTATATCAAATTAACAGTGTAACCATTAACAGTCTTACAAAAACTGTAGTCAGACCAATTGAGGTAATGTTACTAGTACCTGTTACACATGATTTTTACTTGTCATTAGCTATGTGTGTTGCCCCCTTGGTATTGTCTCCATATTTTTAACTTGACAGTTTTTAAAAATGTGTATTTCTTAGCTTTTCTTAGATGTGAGGTGACATGTCATAATTTTTTCAAATCAATGACTTTTCCCCCTCAGAAATGTAGAATAACCATACTGGATGATGCTGCTGAACCTAAGTTAGAGGGCAATGAAACCTTTGCTGTGTTCCTTAGTACACCAATAGGCAGTATTCTGTCCATGCCTTATTTTGCCAGTATTAGCATCTATGACAATGAATTAGACAGTAAGTAGTGGGAAAGAAATGATACAAAGTACACAATTTATATCAAGTAAATTATAATTTTAAATTTGCATTCATATAATACACCAACTGTATATATACTTGAGTAAACTTTCTATAAACAAACTAACTTTGTTAAGTGTACAGCTCTCTAGGCTGATAACAACTCTAAAAGATACATTGAAAGATATCTTGAAGTCAACATTTGATCTTCAACAATTGACAAATGGCTATAAAATTTTCAAAGCTCTAAATTGCTTGTCTTGACAACTTTTAAATAAACTTGACAGAAACAAACTATCTTCAGGATTCTTTAACTAATAAATTCTCTGAGATACAGTATGAATTCATTTATTTCCATGGATAACAATTTTCGCAGATTCAGGAAAAATTGTTTTTTGTGGAATCATGAATTCATGGTTTTCAGAAACTATGTATACAAGTCTTTTTAAAATTTTTTTTTTGTTGAACATTAAGTTTGTGGTTCACCTTTTTCCTAAAAATCTAGGAAATTCAGTACTCCAAGAATTATAATGAGTCTACAGTAATTTATATAAAGACCATATTTAAACAAAATGTTTTTAGTATTCAACCCTCTACCTTTTTTTATCATGATCACAGTAGCATAATCAAAGGTGCATTTATGATAAATTCAGTTCAGAAAAAGCCCTGAGCTCTCTAATGTCAGAAATATTTATCTTTTCATGATTCCAAGGTGAAAAGTAAAATTGTAACAAATCGTGATCATACATCCCTGATCTGACTGTTTTAATGTTTCAATATATTTTTTAAGTACTCAGCAGGACCAGTGTCTTAACAGTTTAGTAATAAAACATTTGAAGATTAAAACAAAAATGGAACAATGGAATTGTGATTATTCAAAACAACAGAGTTCTATGTTTGTAATATTATCTGAATATCTTGTCTTATTTATTTGGTTTTTGTTATAGAGAAGGGTTCATATTTACTATAATCTTAATTTATGATATTTGATGTTTTCTTAAATAAAAATATAAAAATAAGAAGATGTGGTATGGTTGTCAATGAGACAACTCTCCACCAGAGACCAAATGAAATAGAAGTTTACAAATTTTTTATACATAGTATGTATAAAAGATGTGGTTTTATTTCAGTTCCAAAAATGCATTTTGTTTCTCATGAGTACACAGTTGATGAAAGTTCCAGTTCAATCCATGTTCCTGTGTACAGGTCAGGTGATCTTAGTTTTGAATCCTCTGTAATCTGTTACACAAGACAAAACACAGCGCATGTCATGATGGACTATGCAGAAAGACCACTCACAGATGCTTCCAGAATTATATTTCTTCCTAGGGAAAAGGTAACTATGTTTTATATAATTTTCAGTTTGATAATTTAACTTTTAAGAAAACATTCTGAATAGCTGCAATTTAGTTTTACAATCATCAGGAAAACTTGGAGGCAAATGTTTGCCAAATTGTATAAATACATTGGCAGTTATATAACCATAAAAGGTTTTTAGATTAGAGTTGTTTTTATCTCACCTTTCCGAAGGAAATGTGAGCTTTTGCAATCACTTGGCATCCGTCGTCGTCCATCATCGTCGTCCATCCGGTGTAAAGTTTTTCAAACATCTTCTCCTCTGAAACTAATGAACCAATTCCAACCAAATTCAAGCTGAATGATCCTTAGGGTATCTAGAATAAAGTTTGTGTTTTATTTTTTGTTTTGTCAAAAAACATGGCTACCATGGCTAAAATAGAACATAGGGGTAAAATGCAGTTTTTGGCTTATATCTCAAAAACTAAAGCATTTAGAGCAAATCTGATTTGACAGTTAAATTGTTCATTAGGTCAAGTTCTATCAGCCCTGAAATTTTCAGATGAATCTAACAACCCATTGTTGGGTTGCTGCCACTAAATTGGTAATTTTAAGGAAATTTTGCAGTTTTTGGTTATTATCTTGAATATTATTATAGATAAAGATAAACTGTAAACAGCAAAAATGTTCAGCAAAGTAAGATCTACAAATAAGTTTTATATGACCAAAATTGTCAATTGACCCCTTAAGGAGTTTTTGCCCTTTAAAGACAATTTTACACAATTTGTTTATCATGTTTTCTAACTTTAAAAAATCATCTCCTCTGAAACTACTGAACCAAATTAAACCAAACGTAAGCTGAATGATTCTTAGGTTATCTACAATAAAGTTTGTGTTTTATTTTCTGTTTCCTCAGAAAACATGGCCGCTATGGCTAAAAATAGAACATAAGGTAAAATGCAGTTTTTGACTTGTATCTCAAAAACTAATGCATTTAGAGCAAATCAGACAAGAAGTTAAAGTATTTATTAGGTCAAGGTCTACCTGCCCAGATGTTATCAGCCAAATCGGGTATCTGATTTTTAGGTTATCGCCCCTGAATTGATGATTTTATGGAAATTTTGCAGTTTTCGGTTATTATCTTGAATATTATTATAGATAAAGATAAATTGTAAACAGCGAAAACGTTCTTCAAAGTAAGATCTATAAATAACTTTTATGACCAAAATTGTCAATTGACCCCTAAAGAAGTTATTGCCCTTTAAAAACATTTTTTCACAATTTGTTCATCTAGTTTGCTTACTTTAAAAAAATCCTCTCCTTTGAAACTGCTGAATCAATTTCAGCCAAACTTGGGCTTAATGAGTTTCAGAGTATCTAGTATAAATTTTGTATTTTATTTCCTTGTACGTCAAGAAACATAGCCACTATGGCTAAAATGCATTTTTTTGCTTTTGAAGAAAATATGACAGATACAAAGAACATTTAAATTGCATTTTTAAGCCACTCATTAATATATATTGAAAAGCAAAAATAATCATTGATGAAAGATTTAAACAAAAAATTACAGGTAAGCGATTCAGGCTCTTGAGGGCCTCTTGTTTAGAAAATAACAATATGAGAATTAACTCATATAGAACAAGAAAAAGGCAACAAAAATAATCCAATCAATGATAACAGAACTATGAAATCACCATCAGTCTTTTATGGTAATGCATGTCTAGTGTAAAATTGTCATTAAAATCTTTTTTCTAATCAATAAAGGTTTTAAGTATATTGTTATTGTTCAACCCATGCATCACAATGCCATAAATCAAATTAACATCAAGATATGGTCTGCATCAATTTAAATTTCTCTATATCCTTAATCACTCTGAATTAATATATAATGATTAAACTTAACATAGACTGTCATAGACATGCAATCCAATTTTTGCTAACAGTTTAAAAAAAAACAAAGAAGTTCCTGCAACTATTTTCACAAAAAAAAAATTTCAGTATACTTACAATCACTATTGATCATAAGATTGATGTGAAAAGGGCACTGACTAGCAACGGGTATATTAACATGTGCATGACTTTGTTTGTATACATCATTTGAGCCTGTTTCTGTCAACAAAGTAACAAGAACATATAAATTCTCTTTATACAAGTCATGAACACTTTTTTCTCTCAATTATTTATATATTTTTCAGGTTAAGAATTGTTCAGTTAATATAGTTGATGATGGAGATTATGAACCCAAAGAACTGTTCTATTTAAGACTGGCAGAACCTAAAGGGACAGAACTCTGTAAAGCAGAATTAGGACAGGTTACCATGGCAACAATCTTTGTTGTCAATGATGAGGATGGTAAGATAGCAGGATTCCTTAAGCTATTTTGACATGATTTAAACATGTATGACTAAAAAAATACATCTCATTGATACACCTACACAATGACACAGATTATTAAACAATTTCAATCCACATTTCAACATTATCATTGTTGGCTGTTGTTTTGACTATTGAATCCATGACAACTCTATATCATAGATTTCGAATTTTTCCAAGATGAATGATTTTAATAACATTTTGGTATTCTTTTTTCATAAAAAGGAGATTTGTAGTATATGTCAATGAGACTGAAATCCAACAACACAAATAACAACAGACAATAGACAGGTGTGTGTACAATATTTCAAGTTCTAAATTGTCCAGAGACTTAAAAAGTAGTAAATTGATTTAACAAAGACTATCAAAGCCATCTTTAAGGAAAATATATTTTAAGGGATGTTTTTTTGTATAACCAACCTTACATGCACAGTAAATTAGGATGTTTTAGCTGTAGTCAAAGATGAAATTGCCTAAATTAAAAGTACCACAATAAAACATTGACCATAAAAATAAAACATTTTAGATAATAGTGAAACTTTATAATATTTGATTTTAATTTGATGAGAAAAAAATAAAAATTGCATTAATTTAATGAGAACACATAATATATAAAGGTGTTTTTGCTTCAGTTAATTAATCCTCTTTCTTGATTACCAGAATGATATAACTATAGCCACACTTTAATCAATAAAATGTAAACTTCAAATAATAATATATCCTCATCTAATTATTGCAATCAAATATGAACAGCAAGTATTAGCCTTCACCTAGAGTACTTCGTTCCAAAAGAATTACCATCTTTGTCCTATAAGACTTGGAATAATTCATTGATACTTTAATTTATATTGATTTTATCACTAGTTTTCCCTTTATTCTGATATTTTACTCCTTATCACTGGTGGTAAGATATTTAGCATAAAGGGCCAACCAATGGTAAAATCAATATAAATTCAAACCCCAATGAACTTTTTCTTAAGTTATACATATTTTAGTTCCTAGGATACAGTTCAAGCAAGCAGACTACAGTATAATGGAACCAGTCTTTGTGGATGTTGTTTCTACACTGGTTGTCATGGTGATGAGAATGGGTGATCTGAACCGTACATCTGTTGTTAGGTGTAGTACTAGAGATGGATCAGCATTGTCAGGACTTGATTATAATGCTAAAAGTGTGGTATTAGATTTTAAACCAGGTATAAAATAAGTTAACAAAATAAATTTATTTGTATAGTATACAGCTATGGTATTTGTTTGGCAAAGTTTATAAAAATATAAAATTTGTGTTTTTCCCTTGATCAGGCTAAAATCAAACAAAAATATTTTAAAAAAGTAAGTCATGATGTTATATTTTTCTTTTCATATTTCGCATATTGGAATTGATTATGCGTCAAAATTGTAAGAAAGATCAACCAAAGATCTCTTCTGTATCCTATGCCCTTAATTTTAACTTTCTATGTTTCTCTACAGAATTGAATTTAGGGTTTTTCTGTAGGTGTCGTTTATTACATTTCATATTTTTTTGCAGAAAATTAAGTTATCTAAGAGTTTCCTGTTTTACATTTGTGTTTTCTGTAAAAATGCAGTAATGACACCACAACCTTTGTTGGTGATAATGACTGAAAATTCTTTTTCTTATTTCAAAAGTTTATTTTTTTCTTTCATATTTCTTTATAGGAATGAGATCTGTTGAGTTTTCTGTGGATGTTATATATAATAGTAACACTGAATGGCACGAGTCATTCTATATTGTGTTAGATGAGAAAAGTATGAGAGGTGCTGAGCCTGGGGACATTATGTCTACAACTGTTACAGTGTTAGATGATGAAGTCTCTGGTAGTCTTGTACTGCCTACTCCTCCAGTTGTGAGTAAAAATAAATCTATAGACCAATCTCATGTTGTTTTTTTTATGAATTAGTTGCACTGAATGACCAGAGTTCAATCTGCATAAATGACGTCATTGAACAATGTGTGACGTAATAACATAAGAAATGTAACATGGGAAATTTCAACAAATTTGAAATTCGTCTATATTAACAGTTTTTCTGTATATATACTGGTAAGTATAAAGAGATATATCCTTCCTGAGTCAAGATATGTAGCCACTGAGCCTGTCAAATTTACCAAAAGCTACAAAATTAGATTTCTTGGGCACAGAGCAGAATGACAAAAACTGTTATATAATATACATATATTGTATTCTATGTTATATTACATTATGTTAGATGAAAATTGTGTGTGAGGTACTGAACCTTTCAAAAGTTTTAATTAATTCTAAATGATTTTGAGGAATTTTGAAGTTTTTATACAGTTACAGAAATTAAATCCTTAAACCAAAAATTTCAGAAGGGTAATTATAACTAAAGAAATGTTTTATATTTGAATTAAATGTAACAAATTAGATGAAAGGACATTTTTAAAAAGAAAATAACATCAGTTATAATCACCTATAAATGTTTATTTTTTATAAGGTTGTGTCCTTACTTCATTATGACAATGTAGACATTGGAATGGAACAGGCACCTAGTCCAGGTTATCCTTTAGTTTGTGTCACAGTAAGTATAATTACAGCACCTAGTCCAGGTTATCCTTTAGTTTGTGTCACAGTAAGCATAAGATTTTTATGCCCCACCTAGGGGCATTATGTTTATCGGTCTGTGCATCCATTCGTTTGTCTGTTCCTCTGTCCGTCCGTTCGTCCGTCCGTTCATCCGTCTGTCCCGCTTCAAGGTAAAGTTTTTGATGAAGTTGAAGTCCAATCAACTTGAAACTTAGTACACATGTTCCCTATGATATGATCTTTCTAATTTTAATGCCAAATTAGAGTTTTGGTCCCAATTTCATGGTCCACTGAACATAGAAAATGATAGTGCGAGTGGGGCATCCGTGCTATGGACACATTCTTGTTAATGGAGTATTGAAATAGAATAGTTTTGCTTTGTTGATATTCTTCTATCTATTACTCCCTCTTACCCATATCCCATCTACTATATTTCAGTGAAATTTCCCTGAAATCTCTCTTTCATAATAAGTAAGTGAACTTTGCTAACTTCTTGTAATGCCCTTCTGCTAGGTGAAAGGGGCATTGAGGTTTATCCTTGTCCTTCTATACATCCCAAAATTGGTTTCCATTCGCTAATTTTGGTTTGCTGCAACCAAATGTAATAAATACACAATGCTTATTAACAACAAACACACATCAAGTTCAGGTTTGGGTGTTGTCACTTTCACCATTCTCAAGTTAAATCGCTTTATTATGGAAAAATTGCTAAATTGCTACCAGTGGGGGCATCTGTGTCCCATGAACACATCCTTCTTTTATATTTAATTTTATACCCCCGCTTTAAAAAAGTGGGGGTATACTGTTTAACCTCTGTCTGTCCGTCTATCCGTCAGTCCGTCCATCCGTCCCATGAATATTTTTCGTCGCATCTTTCTCAGGAACTACATCATAAGGATTTCTGAAATTTGGTTTCAGGGTTTATATGAGTCAGCTATACCGTGTGATGCATTTTCAGATTCATCACTCAACAACTTCCTGTTTACCGAACACTTACAAATTTTTACACTATTAAAATTATCCAGTTGTGGCGGGGGTATCATCAGTGAGCAGTAGCTCGCAGTTTCACTTGTTTTAACAGTCCTGAATTTGTAAGTGTCCTGGCATTTTTAACATGTTTCAAATTGAATGGCTTTCTTCATAAACAAAAATATTACAATGCAGATAATTATTTCTTTAAATCAGTTTTTTCTAAGTAATGCTTAACTTCTATGATCATATACAACTAATCGTTTCATCATAGATTCATTTAAATATTTGGTAGTACAGTAAAAAGTTTGATTAATTTCTCTTTTCAGCCTTGTGATATCCATTACCCATCATATGCTGTAACACATTCACTGTGTCAAAAATCAGGAATTAACCAGACTTCCATGTTGTATAGTTGGGAGGTTGCCATGCCAATAACAGATGACAGCTCAAGGTCACCTTTTGTTACAGTTACAGACAACACTGTGTTCACCAGTGTGGAAACAAAAGTTCTTGATAGTGTTTACTTTCACCCCAATTTTCATGTAAGATGTGTTGCCCAGCCTTTGCATAGAAATACTAATCCTGGCATACCAACAAGAAGTGAGCCAGTTATTATCAGCATTGAAGATGGAATATGCAAGTCTCCTGTCTTCAGTTGGACAAACAATTTTTATGGGGCACAATCCTTTTTGGCAAAACTTGATTATGTTGGACCTGAAGATGAGAAACATCCAAACAGAGTCCGCATCTCCATCAGAATTCCACACCAAGATGGTCATTTGCCACTTATATCCACCCATCCACTTCATAACCTACGATTTGTACTTTCTGACCCAGTTTACAGACAACAGCATGTCTGTTCAAATCTGATCACAGACAAAGAGAGAACAAATGTGGTAGAGAGTGGATTTTTAGAAAGTAATCACATGTTTCCACCTTCACATAATTTCCCATACCAGTTTGATCCCAGTATGAGACAGAATGAGACGATTGATTTATACCGGCATTTGGACCTGAAGTCGTGCATGTGGAATTTTGAAGCGTGGTATCACATGACAAATCTGGTAGATCTTTGTGGTGGAAAAGTTGTTTCTGATTTCCAGGTAAGAACTTAGGTGGTGAAATAAAGACTTCCAGGTAATATAAAATAGTCATTTAATGACCAATTAAATATTAAAAACATTCATTCTTAGAAATACGATGGAAAAAAAGGAATATGGTATTTATTCATGACATCAATTTGACATCCAATCGGTACACACATAAAGAAAAACTAAAATCAAAGGAACAAGGCTGTTATCAGTATTTTTTAATCTCAAAGTCACAACAAGGCCTTCAACATGTAGCAAAAGCTCACATCAATTCAAGTTCAAGACAACCCTAAGTGGAAGTTTCATTTGGGATTCTTTTATTAGATTTATACATTGTACTAGGTTTTATTGGTGACAAATGGGGTTTGTAGAAACAAACATCTTAGTATAAATCATGCTCTTTAGAATTGTTTAACATTTTGTCATGCTTGGGCCTTTTATAGCTTGGTACTATATTTCATAGGTTTTGCTCATTGTTGAAGGCTGTACTATACGGTCATCTATATTTGTTTAAATTATCATACCACTGCTCCTTTTTTTATATTACCTGCATGTAATATTGTTTAGGGGTTCATTATGTTTGTAACATTATTATACCCCTACTCCCCTGTCCTTATGCACAACAACATGCGCATTTTATTTACTATAAGATTTTTTTTCTGGCAGGTTAAAGACAATGGAAAAACCTACTTGACTGTGAGAGTTCCCTTGTATGTATACTACCTATATACCACAGCTCCTGTAGGCTGGGGCTCGCTACAGCACCATACAGAGATGGAATTCTCCTTCTACTATAGTAATATACTGTGGCAAACTGGTCTGGAGAGTGAGGGCAAGATAGCTGGAGATTTACAAGTACTCAAGGTACTGGTAGGCAGGGATGGCAGACTTGTGATAGATTTGAAAACACAAACAAAGTTTAGAGGTAGGCTAGCATTTGAGCTCAATGTAGTTTATCTTTAAGGTCATTCATATGTGAACTTGATGGTCTGAAAGTTGAAATTAAGTCCAGGGCTGTATTCTAGCATAAAAACTGTTAAACACAAAATTTAAGCTAAAATATAGGCAGACATTAATTCTTTAAGACAAAAACAATAAAAACAATAAGCCTGTTTTTAACCTATGAATTTAAGTAATAATGAAAAGCATACAAGTTACTAATTGATACAGAAAATATATTGTTAATTAACCCTCAAAATAGATTTTTTTAAAGAAGCACATTGTCATTAAAACAAGACCCATAAGTCCTATAGTATTTTTATTTTATTTTTGCAAATTAAGTTAACTGCACTATATCAAATATGATTTGATGTATTCCAGTCAGTTGGGTTGTATTTCATAAATGATTGAGATTGACCAAGCACATATTTTTTATTTTACAACCTTGAAATAAAGATAATATGGCTAAATATTTCATTCAATACATATTGTTCCGAAACAAAGTATTGAAAGGTATAGAGTATCTGTTCCCATTTTATAGGAATGTATGTACCAGAACACCACACATTACAAGGCATAACCAGTAAGGTCATTCCTCCAGTAGGCATGCCTGTGACCTTTGACCTAACTTTAGTTTGGTCTCAGCAAACATTTGACAGTCCACATCAACTATGGAGGGCCACAAGTGATTATAATTTGAAGGTTGGTAACTATTTTGAACATATGATATTTATGAAATCTGATATGTAAAAGAATTTTACGTTGATTTAGATTGTAGCAGTAAGAAAGACTGAACTATTGAAGAATGAAAGAAGGATTTAGAGGAATTTAATATTTTCAGCATTGAATTAAAAAAATAAACATTTTCAGATGAAATGAATTAGAAAGATAATTTTGTAAGATATTTTCATGAGGGCAAAGGTTGGAATTATCTAAACAGCCATCTCCAAGTCAGGAGCCTGTAATTCAGTGGTTGTTGTTTGTTTCTGTGTATCGTATTTGTTTTTTGTTCATTATTTTGTACATAAATTTGGCCGTTAGTTTTCTCGTTTGAATTGTATTACATTTGTCATTTCGGGGCCTTTTATAGCTGACTATACGGTATGGGTTTTGCTCATTGTTGAAGGCTGTACAGTGACCAATAGTTTGTTAATTTCTGTGTCATTTGGTCTCTTGTGGAGAGTTGTCTTGTTCAATGGCAATTATACCACATCATCTTATTTTTATATATACAAAGTTTTTACTTTAACATGATGATGATAAGAATTATAATAATTATAAAATGTCATGAAAAGTTCTCACATTTTTAGGATTATACAGGAAGGTACACAGTAGAACTTATTCCTTGTTTGGTCAAATCCACACAGATATTTATGTCAGCAGACACACCCTGCACAGCTAAGAAACCTCAGAGGTAAATGTAAAATATACATTGATAGAGGAGGTAAAATTCATTTCATTCTGATTAAAGCCATTTCTGTACAAATTGTTGCATATAGCACACTATGGTTCAGTTTGTAAAGCTGGGATTCACTATTCATTGTTTATTGGAGACAGTCAAAAAGTCATACACTCAGATATGTGGATTTGCTACAAAATCTAAACACACCTCCCATCTCCTACTTCCCTCCTGAGTGAAAAAAAATGTAAGAAGAAAAAAACTGTTAGAAAGAAAACATGGGGAACTCAGTAATGAAATCGAGGAACTTTTGATATTTTTGTTAAATGATTCTTAGGGGAAGGTAAAATTCAAAGATTTTGAATTGAATGATATTAATGTGTCCAGATCACCTGTGTTTTAAACTTTGATCAGTCTTTTAAAGTCATGGCCATCCAGAGGATGATGGAAATGGTTAATGTATAGATGATTCATGGCCACTTTGTGCCACTAAGTGCTCCAATTACTGAGACTCTGTCTTTTAACCTGATATTACCTGATGATAAAATTCTATGGACTTTTTTAAGTTTTCTATTTCATTAGGGAATGTAAGCCCTTATTATGTAAATTAAAATGTCACAAAGAAAATATTGGGACAGATGTCAGTTAAATTATTACCTAAAATATCCATTCTCTTGTAATTCACCGTTTTAGAATCTAAAGGAATAAGGTATTTCATTGTTTGTAGCCCAAAATAAAAATGATGTCAGATCATTGGTTGAGTTTCCATTATTTTTTACGTTTTTAACCAATTACAACTTTTGCTGGATGCTTTTAAAAATATTACCCAGTTGCATTTGATTCTGAAACAGCAAACTATCTGTAACACCTGAACAGATGTGATTATGTTAAATGTTATTTTTGACTGTTATGTGAATGTGATTGATTGACCAATTGTTTCCTATAGCATGTTAAGGGTAAACTTATTTTTTTAATACATGTTTATAGTGGTAAAAAGCTAACATTGCCAAAATAAATTTAATTTTGATTAACCATTTACACAGCAGTTACAAATTACAGAATTTTCAATTTATTAAATTTAGATTTGAGGTACCAATAGCATTCCAGCAATCCAATAGACCTGTACCATTGGTGTATTCTCTAGATACAAGGTTTGAATTAACAAATAATAAAGAGGTGTTCCTAAAGAATCCATACATCAGTGCCTCAGTCCTGGATCCTGAATATGACAGATCCTTTGCTCCAGGTAAAATACAACAGGGTTTGCACTTGTCCTAGAAATCCATGAAAGTTAAAATGAAAGAAGTAAAGTAAAAGATTTTTAATCACATGAAAAGTGTGGAAAAATCGTTTGAAAATGGGTTGATTTAAGGAGGAAATAAGAGCCATTATTTGTGCCCCTAAAATCACAAAAATAATAAATTTCTTAATCCTTTCCAAAATAATGGCAATTTAAGTTATATAATTTCTAAATAGATTATGTCATAATCTGATGTTTTTTCTGTGCTTTTTTGGAAAAAAATGAAAAAGAACTAAATTATTGGACTAATAAGGGAATACATGTACCAGACAATATCTTGTTATCAAATCTTGATTTTAGAGTCAAAATTAGGCTTTCATTGGCGGCCTTGGGCTGTTTCCTGCTCTTTGATCGGGTTGTTGTCTCTTTGACACATTCCCTGTTTCCATTCTCAATTTTATTTCAGGAAACATACAAGTAAAAGCTATTAAGTATATGTTGAAATCTTTGTATTTGAAATATTTAAAATTGTTTTTCTTCAGGTGAGGTTCTGTATGGCAGAGTTTTATGGAATCCTGCACAAGATCTGAGAGAAGCTTACAGTTTGTCTATTGAGAAAGTTTATCTTTGTACAGGTGAAATATTTCAAATTATCTGAAAACACATTACCAGTTACTTAAATCACATTTTGACTGAAAATTTATTCATATCATCCAGGTATTGTTATTTGAACTGCAAGGGGTTTAACTTATTACATGATTAAAAAGAGATATGTATAAAAAAGAAGATGTGGTATGATTGCCAATGAGACAACTCTCCACAAGAGACCAAATGACACAGAAATTAACAACTATTGGTCACCGTATGGCCTTCAACAATGAGCAAAGCCCATACCGCACAGTCAGCTATAAAAGGCCCCGAAATGACAATGTAAAACAATTCAAACGAGAAAACTAACGACCTAATTTATGTACAAAAAATGAATGAAAAACAAATATGTAACACATAAACAAACGACAACCACTGTGTCAATAAGACAGCAACTTAACAATACAAAAAACCAAAAAAACATCTACAGGTCAACATACAGTTTTTAGAAATAGACCGGTGTCTATTCAAAGCAGCAATTACACCAAATGATAGAATAATTTGAAGACCACAGATTCTCAGAAAACACATAATTGATCATATGGACATACATGTATATATTGTATTGAAATTAAATTCTCATGAAATTAAAAATAAAACATTACTATAGAATTACCACATCCTGGAAAAAGTATTTGATTTTTCAATTACAGGAAGTGATGGATATATTCCAACCTTTGACCCAAAGGGTGAGGTTTATGGTGATGGACCACAGTTTGGATGTTTACAGCCAAGTCCTAAACTACAGTATAGATTTCTTATACTGGTATGATTAAATTTGAAAAAATTATGATAATTCACAATCTTAAACATCCACACATTTCACTAACAGTTTTGGGGGGTAAACAGGAATCCTCATATGCTCAGTTTCAAGTTGTACTTGAGCCTTTCTTCCAACCTCACCTGATTCCAACTTCTTATTATAGTTATGTATTACCGGTATATTTGTCATCTTAAAAGTTAAAATTTTTATAGCAAACTGATTTTTTTCTGAAACATTTTTGAACAGATAATCATGGGAAATGATCAGATATTGTGACAATTTGTTTTTATATATTTCTTGATTAATGGTTGAAAAAGTTTTTGTACAAATTGCATTTTGCTTTGCAAATTTCAACTAAAAGCAACCAAAATGTTTTATAGGCAGATTAAAATCAACCAAACTATGCAGTTACATCCTGTAAAATATTTAAAATTCATTGCAGTTTTTATTTCATGTTTTCAGACTTAAATTTGTATTTAAAAATTGTCTTTGTGTATGGTTTAATTTTGCAACAGTATGATTTTCACAGTTCAAATTTTACTGAAAAGAAAGTGAAAGTAAAACTATCATGAATATGTCTTGGTTTAATGTAGTTTGTGGTCTTGACATATAATTTGTTGTTTTTAAGCTGTATCATTATTAGTGGAACAGGAACTTCTGATCCTTTCAGCAAATCTGAGTTCATCCCTATTATTATACCTTACATATATTTCAAACAATTCTATTGGGTTAAACGTTATCACGTGACATGGAATAATTCAGTTAATTTTCATTCAATTGCAAGGAAGAACAAATAACCCTAAAAATTTACACCAGCGTTGAATAACCCTATTATTCACCGGCGAATAACCTTTTTAGTTTGTTGATTTGTACTCATGAAAATGACGTCACAGACGTAAATAAACAAAATGGCAACGTTCAAGTTACAGGAAGCCCATTGATCGAGAGAAGAGGAAATAAGGCTTTTGACGTGCATCTTGTGCCGATGATATCTCTAATAACGGTCCTTTTCAGGGCCATCAATATTTTACAAAAAGAATCTACCTTTGTTGTACATACGAGAATTCTAAGACACAAATTACATGTATTTTTGAACGTCAACTTGTGTTTGTTACTAAGGGTAAGTGCTTTTACAATGATTCAAAATGCCCTTCCACTGTTAGTTCGGTATAATAAAACAATTGTGGCCCCTTAGAAGCGATGAATATCCAAAATTGTCAACCCTTAAAAGTTATTTCACTTCGGGCTGCGCCCTCAGTGAAATAACCTTCTCGTGTTGACAATTTTGGATATTCACCTTTTCAACGGGCCATAATTGTATATTATTGGTGATGTTCTTGCTGAATATTCAGTGTTCTGTATATAATTTGTGGACTGTTGTTTTTATGTCTTTCTTTATCTTTTGACAATGATGCAACAATTTTACTTTTAAACATGGTTTATTATTACCTCCTTGATATTTTCTTCACCTTTTTTGACAGATTTACCAGTAATCAACATCAAGAGAAAAGAAATGACCAGAGCCACTATCTGGCCCTGGAATTGTTAGAATAATTGAATTGTTTAATCCTTTCAAAATTATGTTACTTTTATTGGTAAATGATTAAGTTGGAAAAATCTACAGACTTGGAAATGTCAGACAAACAAATGTCTTGTTAACATATGAAGAATGTTATTAAAAGAGAGGCGAAAGATACCAAAGGGACATTCGAACTCATAAGTTGAAAATAAACTGAAAAAAAAAAAGAAAAAGACCAACAGACAAACAATAGTAATCAAAACAAAACATAGAAAACTAAAGACTGAGCAACACAAACCCCACCAAAAACTGGGAGTGATCTCAGGTGCTCCGGAAGGGTAAGCAGATCCTGCTCCACATGTGGCACCCGTCGTGTTGCTCATGTTAGTACAAACCTGGTAATAAGTCTAATTGGGTAGGTCACATTCGGGAAAAGGGGGCGGGATTATTAAATCGATCTATTATAGTTTTTGAATTTTGAATTAAAGAAGCCACAAAAGCAGCCTGATAATACCTTCTCCTTCATTTCTTTAGAAATAATATGCTTCTTGTTTTACTAGGATAAAGGAAACCGTGATGTAGAAGTAAGACATTTTCATAGTGTCCCTTTTAATGCCAAATTTACAACAGATCTGAACAATATTCCAGGAGTAGATGGATTTTTTCTCAGCGTTGATCCTCTATACAAGGTTTGATATATTACCCTGTACTGTAAATTCAGAAATTATTGCGTTCATTTATTATTTATTGTAATTTTTTATGAATGGACAAAAAAGCGAGATTAATTAATGCGATTTCAGAAAAAGCTGCATACATATATATGTTTAGATATCAGAATGCGAGTTCTTTTTATTGGGATACTCACCCTGTCGCATTATTCGCATTAAGAAAAACCTTGCATTAATTTCTGAATTTACTGTAATTGATTAAAATTTAAACAAAGAAATTGTATAATCAGCAATAATTCCATATTTCCTGGAAAATAAAATTGAGGAAAGTTTAGAATTGCACAAAAATGAAAAAAATATTTGTCATGCAAGATTAATCTATATTTGTAATTTCATATAAAACTGTATTTGATAAACAATTGTTTTAACAAATTGCCATTAATTTATTCATTATTTATCTTTCATGCCTTAAAGGCCATAATGAGTAACTGCAATCACATAGTGTCCATTATCTGTAAACTTTTAAACAAAATTTTACTTACAAAAAAAGATGAAAAAATCAATTAGAAATTATGATTTATTCCTTAAAAGGGCTAATTTCTAAACTTCTTTAAGCATTATTGTTGTTGACTGCTTTCAAATATAAGTGACAGCCATAACAAAAACTAGAAAATATGATAAAAAAAAATCATTGAAACATCATATGAATGGTAAATTACAATCAAACTTTTAGAAAATTAGTTGTTTAGATTATCAAGTTTCCTTCATGAAGATAGTGTATACAGGCTTCTTAGAACTGCTGCCACCATTCTTTTTTAAATAAAAAAAATGTACTTTGCACTATGTATCAAATGCCAAAATTTGATTGTAGCATTAACACAACTTTATTTTAACAACAGCAATATAAAAAAAAAAATTTTGGGAGGGATGTGAAACGCATGAGTGTCATTTTTATCTGACCAACATAATTGTTATTTGTCAAGAATCATAATGTAAACGAGAAAACTTTAAAAGAAAATCTAAGAGATTGTGAAATTTTAAAAAGTTTTTCATTTTTAGTAGACAATGAATGCTCTATTTTTGCTTTTCAGGTCATGTCAGGACATCAGTGGTATTTACAAGTTATATATGTAATCACAGAAGCAGGAGCACCTCGTCATCGTTTCATTAGAAAGAGATCAGCCATGTTTTCTCAGCCCAAAAAACGTGAATCACAGCTTCCAAATATAATCAAAGAGACTAATTCAATTCAGAATGGAACTGATATACATCACATTCCCATAAACAGTGATATATTACAAGAAGATAGGACTTTGAAACAGACAAAAATTAGTACTCTAACTTATATTATTCCAATAGTATCAGTATTCATAATACTCATAATTTTAGTCATAATTATTTTTATAATATTCAAACGAAGAAGACGAAAAAAGAAAGAAGTTATAGAAACAAAGAAGAACAATTTAGAATTTGCCAAAGAAAACTGTTTACCTCTACTAAATCAAAACAGACTTAGTTTAAGACTCTCAGGATCAAGGGTCAATGTAAATGTGACAGAGGTCAAGGACAGTTTTGTGACCTCTAGTGAGAAAGACAGGAGACCTAGTGTAAAGGTCAAAAATACTAATATTAAATCTCAGGGAAAAGTACAAGGAACTGAAGTATGATGTTTTTATACTTTTTTTATTTTATCTGAAAATGTTTTAAAATCAGTGAACTCTGGAAGATGACATTCTGATCTGTTTTATATTTTATATTTTCTGGAACCTTTTTTTTTAACTTTCTACTTTCTACTTTGAAAAATTTAAATTAAAAGTAAATTTACTTTTCATTTAGGAAAAAATAAATTAAAAAAAATATTGCTGATACAAGTGTGTATTATTTTAATGAAATATGTGTATACATGTTGTACTTGAAAGAACAAAAACTCATATTTATTGAAATTTTCTTATTTTTTTACATTTAGTACCAAACCATTTTGAATATTATGTATTGGTTGATTGGCTCTGATATTATTATTGTTACCGTGTTGTTTTTTTTTTAATGAGAGAATGATCAGCTTTGTTTATAAACTCCTGTTACAATACTGTACACTGTACTATGAAAATATTCTGAAGATATTTATTTTGCCATTTTAGTATGTCTCAGAAAATACAGTGCAATAGAACTTTAGTAACTTATGTAACATGATATAAAATAACTGAATATACTCAGTGGAACAGCTCAGGACTGTCCAATCATCATTTAATCGACTCCATAACTCTGATTAACAAGCATATATTTTTTAACTCATGTTTACATCAGTTTCCCTGGAATTAGGTACAGATACAAGTAGTATAGATGGAGGATGAATTATTCATTTCATAATTAACAATAAGAAGTGTTGAATTGAGATCAATTAAGGTGCCATTTTTTGGAGTGGAAGATTTGAAACTTACTAGGTTGATAAAGAAATTAAGTACCAGTTATATATGGTGCCAAGTTTTTACTCATTGGTTAGTGCAATATATGTGTTTTTTTCATGTAGTTATAATAGTAGTATATTGTTGTTTTTTTATTAAACAAGGAATTATCTGAAACTAGATATTATGAATCTGAAATATTTTGTAAAAACTTATTTCTGAAACTAACCCAACTAAGGATGGCTAGCCATGGCTAAGGGATTACTGTGAAAGTACTTGTATTCGTGGGGTACCAATTTTCCTGGTTTTTCATTGATGGCTTTATCCACGAATTTAATTGTCCAACGAAATATAACAATTGCTGCCCAAATAAAGACATGGAAAGATCCCCATGTAGGTTTGACTACATGGATACGGGCATATAATCTAGAAAATACATAGAATATCAGAAGAGGCACTATGAGCTATATATAAAATTGAGAATGGAAATGGGGAATGTGTCAAAGAGACAACAACCCGACCATAGAACAGACAACAGCAGAAGGTCACCAACAGGTCTTCAATGCAGCGAGAAATTCCCACACCCGGAGGCGTCCTTCAGCTGGCCCCTAAACAAATATATATAATAGTTCAGTGATAATGAACGCTATACTTAACTCCAAATTGTACACAAGAAACTAAAATTAAAAATGATACAAGACTAACAAAAGCTAGAGGCTCCTGACTTGGGACAGGCGCAAAAATGCGGCGGGGTTAAACATGTTTATGAGATCTCAACCCTCCCCCTATACCTCTAGCCAATGCAGAAAAGTAAACGCATAACAATATGCACATTAAAATTCAGTTCAAGAGAAGTCCGAGTCTGATGTCAGAAGATGTAACCAAAGAAAATAAACAAAATGACAATAATACATAAATAACAACAGACTACTAGCAGTTAACTGACATGCCAGCTCCAGACTTCAATTAAACTGTATATACAACTTCAGACAGGATTTACCCATTTAATCTTTTAAAAAACTTAAAAGTGTATGACTTTTAATCTTTTAATTCTAAAAAGTTTTGTGATCGATGAAAGTCAGATTTCCAGTGATGATATGCGCTGATGAAGAGTTCATTTCATCTCCTCATAGTTCTCATATGAAAAAAAAAAAGATTTCATATTGGGCTTATTTTTTTATTTCATAAGAATTAATTCTACAATTCACAGTACATTTGTAGCATTTTGTATGTAACCGTTTTCTTTAAGTGACATGTTTATGGCCCAATTAACACCTTTTTTGATCGTTAATCTGTTGATCATTCGATCCCAGGTAAATTATTGTCTTCACTTCTGATTTTACATGTGCAACAATTAAAATGTTTACTTTGCAATTTCCTTCAATGAGACAATTTGTAAACATAGATAAATCAGCTTATTTCTGAAAGCAATTATTTTATCAGGAATTTGATGAATGTTGTCAGTAATGAAAGACAAACAAGTAAGTGAAAATAAACGCCTTATTTTGAAATGTCCCACACAACAAATAATTATTTTCAAGAATCTTCATTTCTGATGACTTCAAATTCTTCACTAGATTTTTTAAAGTATCTAAAATCCATGAATTTTAAGAACCCACAAACATTACTAATTTTTGCCCAAATCACAAAAACTGATAACCACGAAATAAAAGTACTTTCAGAGTAGTTAATTCTATATTTAAATCTATGTTAACCAATTAAAAGAACCTTGAAGACCCTTAATTAGCTCATGGGTGACTTTTCTACTTAGTTGGGTTAGTTTATAGAACAGAAAATAAACTGGTTTTTGTGGGGTTTTTAAAGAAATTTTACCAGTTTTAATTAATTCCCTGTTATTTGAAATCCTGTTATAATACTCTTTCTGAAAGTGAATTTAAGAGTATTTCTACTTATATTTCCCTCTTTGTTGCATGAAGTGTTTTCTATTTGTATTGTTAATTTCCCCCTTTTACCAAGGGATTGTTTCATACAGTCCTCATTTCTGTTTTCACTTGGCCAACATTCATCAATAACCGAATAAATGTCAATAAAAGATATATACTGGAAAAGCAGAGATATCAATGGATTTACTATTCACATATTTAATGATAACTGAGCCTTTTACATCAATATTGTTGAGTTGTAAAAACCATTTGCGATTGGGATATATTTTTTTAACTTATATCACTTTTCCAGATAATGAGCATTGAATTTTTTTGAATGTTTCTTACTTTTTTACATATATTATGTTGGTTGTTATTAAGAGATATTATTATAGTATTAACATTACTGATGAAGAAGTGGTGTTGGCTTAAACTTTGTTAAACTACCTCATCAGGTAATTATATTGGACCATAATTGTTACAGTTAGGAGTGTCCATGTTTGCCCATGCATAATATTTCTGACTTCACACCAGTGCAAGATGGAATGATCTAAAAAGGAGATTCGGCAGTTTAGTTATTCATGTTATGAGATTATTGTAACTGCCTGATTGAATGAAATTAGTTATCAACACAGACAAATTTACCTGGATAACTTCCTTCTAATTGTCACAACGATCTATATATAGCTATAGTACAATACCCGTAATTTAAGCTTGCAGATTGGTCATTTGAACAGATACTGAATTAAAAATTGAAAAATTTGTTTAGAGGTCTTTTTTTCATGATGTTTACCAATTTAGAGTAAAAAAAACTAGGACATTAAGTGACCCTCCTTTCTGTTATAAATTATGGTCAAATACTTTATACATTCTAACAGGTATAGATCCATCAGTGTCAAATTGTATTATTTGTGCATTTACATCATTTACAAAAACTCATTTTATAAAATAATAAAGTTATAAATCATTTAGACTGTCAATGCTCCATGTGTTGCTTTTGATATAAATGTGGTATGATTGCCAATGAGACAACTATCCACCAGAGTTCAGATAATGTGGATGTAAGCAATTATAATAGGTTAAATAAAAACCTTAAAAAATGAGCAAAACCCATACCTTATAGTAGCTATTACTATAGTTGTTAATTTCTGTGTCATTTGGTCTCTTGTGGAGAGTTGTCTCATTGGCAATCATACCACATCTTCTTATTTTTATAATTACTAGTAAAGGCTCCATCAAACCAGTGTTCCTTATATTAAAGTAGATGTTTATTTTATAAATAATTTCATGACACAGACATTAGATATCTGTATTTGGATGGTAAGCATTAATTTTATTTCACTGCACTCACTGCATACTAACAACTTATCACTGAAGCAATGAGCCCAAATATTTTACCAGTTGATCAGTTTGTTGAGGTGTTTCAAACTGCAATTTGGAAATTTTTTTTAGTAATTGGTATTGAGATAGGGCACCTTCTGAATAAGCACTGTAACTCTTTTTTTCAATGGGAAGCAACGTTAAACAAGGAGTTTCGAGCAATGTTGTACTGAGCTTACCACTAATTATTATTCAAAGTACCAGAATATAGGAAGTAAGAGTCTGATAGATCTGAAAAGCATGTACACATTACAAGACATCAATTTCTGGCTGTAGACCAGATCAGTTGTTCTGTAGAAATGTGCGATGAAAATATTAAGTTCATTCCACATATTTGAAATTCAAAGTATCGGAAAACAGGAAGTAGGTGTCTGACAGACGCAATTAGTACTCACATGTTCCATCTCATCACTGTCAAGCTCCTGCCAAATATCAATTTATTCTATTAAGGAGTACCTGACAAAATTGTGAAGAAAATATTTGTTGGACAGGTGGACAAAGTGACTGCTATAGGTAAAGACCCCACATTAGGAGTATGGGTATTAAAAGAAAATAACCATTCAACATTTAATTTTTTCAATAACTGTCAAATAATGTCACACTTGTTGACCAATCAATATGTTAAATAATGTCGCACTTGTTGAACAATCTGAATACTGACATGACAAGTTCACATTTTTGGAATCGGTCTTTTTTCCTGCAGTCAATGATTCTGATCAAGCGATAATAGTTTTAGTCTTTGTCTAATATCAAACCGAAATTGATTCAATCATCAAATTTAATGTGAGTTTTGCAGATGTTCTCTTTACTTATTCTCTGTGCCTTTTCTATCAACTGAAAAAAGACAAAAAACAAACAGTTAAAGCACAAATATACCATATAAGTATACATTTTATCAGAACAAAGCCCAAGACCAAGTACGACCTTTAAATAGTATTAACTGTTTTCATTTTTTGTTTGGTTACTGTCTCTTTGATGTATATCTGACATGTAGACATAGTCACTTCAAATATGACTACAATATGTACTGACTGAGAAAAAATATTCCATTAGTGGATTAAATTTGTGAAATATACTTTATCTACAAAGGGGAGGTAAATGAGCAATAGACAACTTTCAAATTTGTGCATTTTCCCGTTCATTTCCTATGTCACAATGCTTATGTTATTACGTTACAGAAAGAACCGATTGTTCATTGACACTACAGTATACCTTGTTCTTTGGTCTCTTGTGGATAGTTGTCTCATTTATAGCAACCATACCACATTCCTAATTTTATATAAAACAAATAAAAAGAATTCACTGTAATCTGAGAAGGCATCTAAGCAACAGTGGAAACGCAATTTAATTGTATTATAAGTTCCTTAGAGTGTTTTAAAGAAACAACACTTGTATAAAAATTTGTATCAATCCAATACAAATATTATACCTTTTGAGTTGTAGCAGGAGAGAATAAAACCTTAGAACTAAATCTGTGAAGAGTTAGAGCTAATCACTTTAAAAAAAATTCTTATATTATCTATTTTTAGAAAAATATGAAAAGAGAGGCGGAAGAAAACAAAGAGATATTCCAACTCGCAGTCTAAGATAAACTAACAGCACCATAACAAATGGCCTGAACATTCCTACACACTGTTGGCTTTCCAGCTACTTATAAAATTGCTGATGATAGATAGTTAAATTCTAAAAGGAGAAGGGGCAATAAGGCCCTTATTTGGCCCAAATATTAGTGCAAATTGAAAAGTTACCATACATATTCTTACATATGCCCAAACTACACTAAGGTACAAGGTGTTCAGAAAATAAAAACAAAATTCTCATATAACAAGTTACCATGGCAACACACTATGACAAAATGTGTATATTTTGTAGAATTTCTTGATTTTCCTTGTTTTATGCCAACTTTTAGGTATAAAGTAGATTGGAAAAGTATGTGCGCACCCAAGAAACAACTTCATATTTGGTTAGAATATGTCAAGTTATAATGAAGCTTCTATTAAATTATTTTGTTGTTTCTTGCCTGCGCACAATGTTTCCGCAAATGAAATAATGACAGTAAACTGTATCAACGTAGCAGTTTTCTTTGTTTTTATGAAATTGGTACATTTTATGACGTAATTGTGACGTCATAACATCAAAACTATTGTGTGATTCATTTATATTTCTTGAATTAATGCATTTCCAAACATTATGTGCAAATTTGAAATAGTTCTCAAATACTTTATTTTATTGGGCCAAAACTGGGCCTTAATGCCCCTACTCCTTTCTGATTAAATGTCCATTGGGTGGTACTATTATTATTATGTTTTTATAGAAGTTTCATTTCGTGTCTTTACTTATAATCTTACCTTCTGTGAGCCACGTTTTTTCTTGTTACCTTTGCTGCTGAATTTAGAATTTCTATCTGATTCTAATTTATTCCAGTAGTCTTTTTCTTCTTGTCCTGTCAATAAATAACAACATTAATGTATAACTTATTCCAGTAGTCTTTTTCTTCTTGTCCTGTCAATAAATAACAACATTATGTATAACTTATTCCAGTAGTCTTTTTCTTCTTGTCCTGTCAATAAATAACAACAATATGTATAACTTATTCCAGTAGTTTTTTCTTCTTGTCCTGTCAATAAATAACACCATTATGTATAACTTATTCCAGTAGTCTTTTTCTTCTTGTCCTGTCAATAAATAAATAACAACAATATGTATAACTTATTCCAGTAGTCTTTTTCTTCTTGTCTGTCAATAAATAACAACATGTATAACTTATTCCAGTATTCTTTTCTTCTTGTCCTGTCAATAATTAACAACAATATGTATAACTTATTCCAGTAGTCTTTTCCTTCTTGTCCTGTCAATAAATAACAACAATATGTATAACTTATTCCAGTAGTCTTTTTCTTCTTGTCCTGTCAATAAATAACAACAATATGTATAACTTATTCCAGTAGTCTTTTTCTTCTTGTCCTGTCAATAATTAACAAAAATATGTATAACTTATTCCAGTAGTCTTTTTCTTCTTGTCCTGTCAATAAATAACAACATTATGTATAACTTATTCCTGTAGTCTTTTTCTTCTTGTCCTGTCAATAAATAACAACATGTATAACTTATTCCAGTAGTCTTTTTCTTCTTGTCCTGTCAATAAATAGCAACAATATGTATAACTTATTCCAGTAACCTTTTTCTTCTTGTCCTGTCAATAAATAACAACATTAATGTATAACTTATTCCAGTAGTCTTTTTCTTCTTGTCCTGTCAATAAATAACAACAATATGTATAACTTAGTCCAGTAGTCTTTTTTTCTTGTCCTGTTAATAAATAACAACATTATGTATAACTTATTCCTGTAGTCTTTTTCTTCTTGTGCTGTCAATAAATAACAACATTATGTATAACTTATTCCTGTAGTCTTTTTCTTCTTGTCCTGTCAATAAATAACAACATTATGTATAACTTATTCCTGTAGTCTTTTTCTTCTTGTCCTGTCAATAAATAACAACAATATGTTTAACTTATTCCAGTAGTCTTTTTCGCCTTGTCCTGTCAATAAATAACAACAATATGTATAACTTATTCCAGTAGTCTTTTTCTTCTTGTCCTGACAATAAATAACAACATTAATGTATAACTTATTTCAGTAGTCTTTTTCTTCTTGTCCTGTCAATAAATAACAACAATATGTATAACTTATTCCAGTAGTCTTTTTCTTCTTGTCCTGTCAATAAATAGCAACAATATGTATAACTTATTCCAGTAGTCTTTTTCTTCTTGTCCTGTCAATAAATAACAACAATATGTTTAACTTATTCCAGTAGTCTTTTTCGTCTTGTCCTGTCAATAAATAACAACAATATGTATAACTTAGTCCAGTAGTCTTTTTCTTCTTGTCCTGTTAATAAATAACAACATTATGTATAACTTATTCCTGTAGTCTTTTTCTTCTTGTGCTGTCAATAAATAACAACATTATTTATAACTTATTCCAGTAGTCTTTTTCTTCTTGTCCTGTTAATAACTAACAACAATATGTATAACTTATTCCATTAGTCTTTTTCTTCTTGTCCTGTCAATAACTAACAACAATATGTATAACTTATTCCATTAGTCTTTTTCTTCTTGTCCTGTCAATAATATAACAACATGTATAACTTATTCCAGTAGTCTTTTTCTTCTTTTCCTGTCAATAATTAACAACAATATGTATTACTTATTTCAGTAGTCTTTTTCTTCTTGTCCTGTTAATAAATAACAACAATATGTTTAACTTATTCCAGTAGTCTTTTTCTTCTTGTCCTGTCAATAAATAACAACATTATGTATACCTTATTCCAGTAGTCTTTTTCTTCTTGTCCTGTCAATAAATAACAACAATATGTATAACTTATTCCAGTAGTATTTTTCTTCTTGTCCTGTCAATAAATAACAACAATATGTATAACTTATTCCAGTAGTATTTTTCTTCTTGTCCTGTCAATAATTAACAACAATATGTATAACTTATTTCAGTAGTCTTTTTCTTCTTGTCCTGTCAATAAATAACAACATTATGTATAACTTATTCCAGTAGTCTTTTTCTTCTTGTCCTGTCAATAAATAACA